CTTCAAAGTTGATTATTATCCGTGTGACTCTGGCCTTGTATCTTGATCAAGGATATTTATAACTTAAGTCGTTACATGAAAAAAAATATATTAGGATCACCATTACCCCTCACCACCACTACCACCACCACCACCACCACCCACCACCACCTACCACCACCACCACCACCACCACCACCACCACCATTATCATCAACAACAACAACTAATATAACCAACTGCACAATAAAAACTACCACCAACAACAACAACTATCACCAACAGCATCAACAATAACAACTACCACCACCACTATCATCATCATCATCATCATAGCGGTGGTGAAGTAATGACTCGTACACATTAACATTCTCGAAGTTGATAAATATCGACCGACACACACAAACATACATATACGCATCTCTCTCTCTCTCTCTCTCTCTCTCTCTCTCTCTCTCTCTCTCTCTCTCTCTCTCAGATACCTAAACCTTTGGACACAGAGGAAGGAGCCCTTGTATGTGCACAGGGGAAAATATTTGGTGTCTACATAATGAGGTGAAAGGTGTGAGCCAGCTTACAGGTCGGGTCTTCATCACGAGCTGCTGTTCTAGATCTGGTGTAGCTGCAGTACGTGTGGGAACATTACCTGATATCAAACATGAATACTGTGGGTGGAGAGGAACCAAGGCAAATTAATACCAAAGATCATATAAGTATATATTGTATATACATCTCTATATAAATATGTGAGCTCTTGGATTTTGTGGCCGTCATACACAGTGGAGTCGCGTATGAGCACAGTTTGAACACTACAAGTGAAGATGTTAATATTGATCAGCTTATTATCTGATGGTTTGTTGCAGGCCAGCCAGAGGACCAGTCGCCCTCATTGTTGTGTTTACCTCCTGAATGGAATATGATTTTGCAGGTGAAACGGTTGTCAAGTTACAGCAGGAGTTTTAGTAACATTAGGTGTACAAGGATGTCTGTGGCCATTGTGACTCTTTTTCTTTATTATAATATTTAGCATGAAGTTATGTTCGAGTAACCGGACATAATGAGATCAGGGCAGCCAGGACCTACCCGCTACCGTCGTCTCGCCTATGTGTTGGTCAGTGGGCGTAGTACTGGACAAGACGATCACATAATTAAGGAGTGGGTATTGACAACTCGAGGGTGGGTTTTGCTCTCACTATTCTCTTGATCTTTGTAACTTAACCTCCTCGCGTTCCTTCAGTCAACTGTGTCGTTTATTTGATAATTAAAACAAAGAAGATATACGAAAGTAACGATTTTTCATGTTCAAAAATTAAAACCTGTGATTTTTTCCTCTACGTTCGATTTGGCAGCCATGACACCAGTTCATTAATGCAGTTCATTTGAGAAAAAAATTGTATTAGACTTTAGTAGGTGGTGAAATCCCCTTACTTTGTCCTATCAACACTAGTTTATTCATTTCTTTCTTGGTTCACAGTACAGTATACTCAGATATATACTGTATATTTTCTCTAATAGTTTTACAATAGTGTTAATAATACACACAGGGATTTAAGATTGCCGGAGTAAATGACTGTTTGGGTAGATGTCATCTCATTTCATTCACAAAATTTTAAGCCGTTGTGAGAGTTCTAATTCCTGACATTCCTCCAGCCTAGCCGTCTGCTTGACTCATTAAACGTGTAGAACTAGCTGCCCCACTATGAGCGTCGCCACCGCCTCCACGCCCCGTGTTTAATATATGTGTGTTGAATGGTGAATTTCTGGTTACTTAATCCATCTTGTTGATTAGTTTCTATTGCCTCGTGTGCACGCAACATAAACGATTATGACGACATTATACAACTTTTAGTCTCCTTTTGTTTAATAATTTGGGAAATGCTCTTCAACACTTAAGGCCACATTGCCTCGTAAAAGTTGTTCCAAAATGGAGATATTTTGTTATTGTGTTTACTAAAAAATACAAGAAATAAATACATTTGACAAATACATCAACTCGGGTGACAAATGTTTTCATCGTGGCCATATTCTAGGCTGCTTGACCTACAACACAAACCACGTGGTATTTTCGTATTATTTCAGAGGTTTATTTCATTAATTAATACCGCCTGCATCGTGTTGTGGTTAGTGCGTCGACATCCTGCTCTACTGACCCAAGTTCAATTCCAGGTTCCCAAAACAGTTCTGGTCAAACGGTGTGGTAGAAATACTCAACCCATGTGACCTTATATCAAACTGACGGACATCTTGCCTTCCACGAGGGCGCCTTCCTTGTGTGGCGGAGGTGTTACATGTTATCTATCACTCTATACACTACAGCCTAGTCCAACTCATTAGGATATCACACACACACACACACACACACACACATATACGGAACCTTCACACAAGGCCAGTGATGTGTATGCTTTGGCAACACATCACTGACAAAAACCACCCTTGACTGTGTTCCGCAGAAGCTTTCACCAGCCACCGCCGATTTGATGCATGTTGAAACATTCTTGTAGGTCGCCGAAGTTACAACAGACGACCACTGCTTTGGATGCTGTAAGGAAGGAGGATTTATACTTCTGCATGAGATGCCCAGAGACGCACGTATACAGTTTACTGATAGGTGGAGGGTTGGGGAACTTGGCGACCCCATTTTTATTGAGGTCTTTTATGAATGATGGCATAAGCCGTATACTCGTTGCTCAGTTTTCTTTGTTTATATTGGAACTGTTGGTCGTCCTGGGAGGAAACAGATGGATGAGGTCGTGTTATTGGTCCACCACTTACACCGAGGTATGGAGCCCGTTACTCAGAATGTGTTTTGGGGTTTGATTTTTTTTTTTAACTTAAGCTGGGATAAACTTTAACGTCAGACACACGACACACTAAATTATCTGAATAAATATATATAAATTCATCAGTTAAACATCAGCGTTACGGCGTTGAGATCCTAATATGTGTAAAATCAACCCTAGCAACCTCAACGTTACAAGCAGGAAGCTGAGCTCAATAACACTAAGATCTGTAACATTCACGGCCAATCACAACTGTTTGGTAAGGCGCTGAAGCATTTGGTTTTGAAATCAGGGAGGTCTGCCTTGAACAATGCAAGCAAGCAGGAAATCAAATTCGCTTAAAATGAAGAAAGTGATTTGCTGAAACATTGTACGGAAACTCACTGGCTTCACTCATACCTGCATTTGATCGACTCATTAATCAGTGGACAGCCATCATCCAGTTTTTGTGACAGTTTATCAAATATCTTGGATCTTCCTCCTCGAGTTTTATATTTAAGATAATTTATGATGTACAGTTGCCTGCAGTTATATCTAGTACAGTGACTGGCACATTTTGTGAGATGTGGCAACTCTGTGGAATGTTTATCTAGCACCCTTAGTCTGGCTCAGGTCTGGCTACTATGGTGACCGGATAAAACCCCAACGGACAAAACCCCAGTCTCATATATAAAATATAAAATAAAACACTTTTATGTTTAGGTTAGGTTAGGTTAGTGTTGACAAATGACAACCCCAAAGGGGTTTTGTCCGTTGGGGTTTTGTCATGGAACCAGCTACTATTGTGAGGTTCCTTGGGGGCCAACCCTGGGTTTTGATACTGTGTGAACAAACACAGCAATGTCACATTTCACAATATGTGCCAGCTATTGTACCAGATATAAATGCAGTCGACTGTACTTAGCAGAAACCGAGAACACATTTCTCGTGTCATTTTTTTAATATAGTGATTCCTTTGTTTTTAATAAATTTTTTTGTCATTTTCAGACAGAAGCACCTGAGATCCATTGTTCATTTGTTGTCTTACCATTGAGCAGAATTTGTTAGGTTGATGATGAATAAAATTCAAACAGGTTCCCGTACATGGTGTTATGTAGGTTTGTGTTACTCCAGTTATATAGACTTAAATTCCTATTTAGCTCACAACTGAATTGAAAAAGAAAAGCTTAATTCATTATGTCATATTGTTAAAGTGTGAAATTTATAGATATGTGGGGGAGAAGTGCTAGCTATAAGAGATGAATGATTTTATAATATATAGCTAAAGGTTGCATTTCGCAATCATCCCACCGTGGGAGTTTTTCAGTAAAGACTCTTATTATTAATCTTTTTTCACTAAAATCAACCACACTGAACTAAAATTCCTTTCTACTGAATAGTTATAAACAATAAAACCCTGTCTGTAGTACTCATGAATGCCTTGTTTAACACGCTGACCCTAAATATCCGTACATGTGAACCTGAAACACTTTTAACTGGATCGAGACCCTCTTATAATTGATGAAAGTGTTCGAGGTATGAAAGGTAGGTCATATTAACATAGATTTGGACAAATCTGAATCTTTAACGATATTGATCAATTTCTGATGTGATGCTGTAGTGGTCAAGTTGCATGACTGACTAAAACTGCATGAAAACGAGTGAGTGAAATGCTGAGAGGCTATCAACTACCAGTCATGCAAAAGTGTACAAGAATTTAATGTTTTATAAAAAAAATTGGGATATTGGGAGGGGGGGGGGGAGGGTTACAAGGTTAGATTTTGAAATTTTACTAATTAATTCAACCCATCAATGTATAAACTCTCTTTTTTTCATCTTCCCCCAATAGCTAACACCCCTCCCCCGTATATCTATAAATAATTAAATAATATTAATACCTTAACTTTATAGCAGTATAAATTAAGTTTTACTTTTTCAATTCAGTTGTGAATTAATTAAAAACTAAATCTATTTCCTGGAGTAACATGTTCTGACCATACTCAACGGACTGTAATTTGTGTAGTAGTAATCTCCCTTTTTTAATACTGTATAGGATTTACATATTTTTTTGTTTTGTTTTACCAGTTATTAGGGATATTTTGTTTATTCGTACTTCTGCAAAATTGTCATGTGTATCATAGTGTATGTTGATAGACTTGATACCACTCATGGACCAACATCATTGCTATACAGTATACATTGTGTTTATACCTTAACACTGTCTATGATGCCGTATTCCCTCAGTACGCAGGTGGCTGCTTTTATGAGAACAGTTCAGGCCGGGATAATTTGAATGACTCATGCACAATCATCTGCACACATAAATACTTTGGTCTGGCTCCAAGCCCAAGGACTCCAGTCTCCAACTCTCCATCAGTCTCCAACTCTCCATCAGTCTCACAGACATCCCTTGAATCCAGTTCTGTACAGTATTGCCTCCCCGACGTCCCACTACTGCTTTAATACTATACTACTTTTGAAGCTTAAGGTAAATTATTATTATTTTTTAACTAGTGGGCCGTTTTTTTCGTTCCTTGAGATAATAATATTTATATTTGTTACCCATTCTCAGGTAGTCCCAAATTATGTTTTCTATGAATGGAAGCGGTGATTATTATTTTAAGTGACTGAAACAAACCATGAATTATCTTCTCTTGGGTGTGATCCAGTGATCCTGCCTCCCTACCAACAAAGGTAATAATACTTGTTAAACTATTAATAGATGTTTGAGGTGTAACATTGTGGTGGTTCATATTGAGGGTGAAGGGCACTATCAGCACAGGGCATCCGGTGTGAGGTAAGAGAGAGTAACTAAACTGCCACTGCCTGTATGTTCTTATTTTTTGTATTGAAGAACAGCATAACAAAAGTGGTAATAGTTTGGAGTGCCGATTTGTGAGCAGAAACAACTTAAGAAAAAAATAGACAGAATTAGACAAAACTTTGTTGAAACCTTATTTACAATAGGAAATAGGGAAATGGAAACGAGTATGCACAGAACCAATTTGTACTTGACCTAACCAACCTAACCTAAGGTAACTACTTAACCCTACCTAACTTATCAGAAAAAATTATGGTAATTATATAGGACTACCCCGCGAGCGAAATTGATTGAAAACAATTATAAAAACGCCGTATTTTCACTGTTAAATTATAGTGGACACTGTTTGTAGTTTGTGGAAATATGTTAAAAAATTTATATTTTTAAAATAAATGCTACTTAACATTTGTGGGTATGAAGAAAAGACCTAACCAACCAAACCAAACCAAACAAACCTACCTAACCTTACCTAACTTCCCCGGTATATTAAACAGAAAGAACTTACTATGATATTGTGAAATTTGAGGCATTTTCTGGATGTGAGATGATACGGCCGCATCGGCGCTATGCAGCCCTGGTGGGTTACCGGTAGTCCCATATAGTAACCAAAATTTTCAAAACATACCTAACAACACTGGTTGGATTCTCGTGTCCATTTATCTGTTTAATATATTGTAATTAATGTTTCCACAAAGTTTTGTCAAATTCTATCAACTCCTTCTGGTGCTAGTCTAAAAAAAAATCACAAGTTGGATACAGTATTTGAACTTTAGCAGCTTAATCACTATCACCCCTGGCTTTGTATCCAATATATTTACATGAAATAAACAAAACACAAGTTCAAATTCACATTGTCATTTATGAGATGAAAATTCAACCACCCAGATAAAAATGCTGTGGACATATATAATGCCCAGGCTTTACTTACTTGAAGCTCCAGTGATCTTTTCTTTTTACATGTCTATCAAATTTCTTGCAAGCGTAAAGCTGTTTCACACCGGATGGGAAGCTAGCTACATGCGGATGAAAGTTACGTGGCTTTGAATTGCTGCTTCTGTTTTTCAATGAGGCTTTTCAGACCAGATATGTACAACCCCAGATTGCCTCCTCCGCATTTTTTTCTCAGTGTGGCTTCGTCGCGCACAAGAGCATTTTGGCAGTCAGAGACTGACAGTTGAGAGAGATGGCAAATAGTGCTGTTTCAATGTCACTCCCAATCATATTACCATTTACTTTTGTGTATCAATGCAGCCTTTTCTTGGGGCTTATGGGCCTGTAGTTTGTATCTTGTTTCTTGACATCCTTTTCAATTATTAATAGAACTTCATTGAACTGAGCCTGGGACAATCTGAAATACAGGTATTGTAAATTTTTCTTCAACTGAAAGCTCCTGCACAAGATCATGGTATTTGCCAAAGTTTGGTATTTTCACATTTGTTTCATGTGCTCACTTCTTTTTTCTTTTCTTAGCCATTCCTAGATTCAGCAGTAAAATTTCCTCCTGCTCCTCATAAAGTGTACACTGCCTTCCATTTTGATTGATGCAATGATACTGAGAGTGTCTCGAAATATTATGGCTTGCATATTATCCAGTGTGAACACACTCATCATAAGCATCACGACCGAAAATCCACAGCATAGCTAGCATCGCATCCTGTAGAAATCCATTGGAAGACAAATTAATTTTTTCGTCTAACACTGCACGAAACTACAGCACAAACTGCCAGTGCTAAAAAATATATTTTCGTGATCTCTTTAAGAATCATACTGTACTTCACAGTTGACAAGAGGAACAAAGGGGCAGAGCCAAGTGACGTATTCATAGCTTGCCAATCGGCTTTTTTTTTCTTTTTTATGAGATTAGCCCACCAGGGCATAGGTCAATGACCCACATCAGGGCCTGGGGGCGAAAATGTAATAATAATAATAGTAATGATTAATAAAAAGTAATTAAAAGCAATAGAAATTAATAAAAAAAATATATAAAAAATATATTAAATAAAAATATGTAATGTAATACAGTAACAATAATAATAATAAAGTATCATAAATAAATACAAAAATTAAAAAAAATATCAAGAGTGAGAAACGATATATGTATGTTGTGTTGTCAAAGCAAGAGAAACAATAGAGGCCCTGCAATTGTGTGTGAATGAGGCAGAAAGTCAGATCAGCAACCTGGGACTTGGTCACAATTTTTTTTATGTCATATGACAGCAGGGTCTACCATTAGACAACACATTATGCTTCCAATATTTTCCCAGGCGTTTAACAACCAGAAAACTTCAACAATGCCTACTATGTACCTTGCTAGAGACTACAGCTCCTCCCCGACTTACGACGGGGTTAGGGACCCAAATCCAGGGCGTAAGTCGAAATGGTCGTAAGTCGATTAGGTCGTAAGTCGGGGAGGAGCTGTACTTCTCCTGTATACTTAAGTTATGCTCTCATATTAATCACCATGGTCATTTAACAGCTACTGTTGATGAACAATTCAGATTTACAGTACTGTACTGTACAGTTAACACTTTGTGACACTAAGGTACAAAAGCAGTACAGTACTGTACAGTAATATTCATATTGTGATACCAGTAATATTCTTAAAATAGTGGGTAACTTAATAAAGTGAAGTGCACCTACAGTAGTTCAGTAATTACAATGGCTACTTAACATAGCCATTTCCATCTAGTAGTGTAGTTACTGTTTTAAAGGAATATCTCACTCTTTACGTTATACCATACTGGACTGTGCTTGTTATACTTAACCCCATGAACAAATTTGAATGTATAAAAGCAGGATTATAAATGAAAAGTACTACACTGGAAATAATCATCATATCCTTTGTGTTGAAATAAAAGATGACCTTGCAACATTATGACTTGCTGTCCTCTACTTCACTTACCTCTTAGATGAATTTCACTAGTGTTTTGGCAATGTATATTCTTTGATTCAACAGATTTAATTCAAATTAATCAACATGGATTCTGAAGCAAAGCCAGTGGCAGCGGTCCCTAATGCAGCAGCCTCTAGTGCAGCGGCCCCTAATCCAGCGGACTCGGAGGGGATGAAGCTGTGGGGTGGCAGGTTTGATGGCTCAACTGACCCTGTTATGGAACAGTTCAATGCATCCATGTCATATGATAAGGCAATGTGGAAACAGGATATACAAGTAAGACCGTGCTTGGACTTTCTTTACAGTACAGTAGTTGCTTAAGTTGTTTGTGTTGTTGTATTTATTGATATACTGTATCTTTACAAGTTAATAAATTCTGCACAAGGATCTCCAGAAAATACTGTAATAGAGCATGCACATGTATCACCTAATGGCCGATTCCAGATTGCTGTTTTTAGTCGATAATAAATTTAAAACAAAGAATATCTCAAAATGAACTAATTTCAGGCATATTTTTATTATACATTGGTACAATATTTTTATAAAATTAAACCCTGACATACTCTCCTTCATAGCCCAATACTGTAACATTTGTACACTAGTTGTCTTTAAATTTTCTTTCATTTGTATTTTCATACAAAACAGGATTTATGGTAAATAATTATCACCTTAAAATTTACTTGTACTGTACCTGAACACACGCTCTGAAATATTACTACGGTATTACTTTTCCAGGTAAAATTTCTGTCATACTATATGACCTGTTTGCATCAAGATAAGTCTCGAGTGGCTGTTACTGGTAGTAGTTCATAATACAGGCAGTCCCCGGGTTACATACGAGTTCCATTCCTATGGAAGTTCTTAAGTTGTAAGTAGGTAGTAGGCAGCTACCAAACAGGGAGGTACCACCGCCTGGGAAGATATTGGATGCGTAATGTGTTATCTAATGGTAGATCTTGCTGCCATATGGCATCACAAAAATTGTGACCCAAGTCCCAGGTTGCTCATCTGTCTTTCTGCCTCATTACACACAATTGCTGGGTTTCAAGTGTTACTTACTTTGACAACACAACATACATACTGTAAATCGTTTCTCACTCTTTATTTATTTTTTATTTTTTGTATATATTTATTATTATTATTGCTGTATTATTATTATTAATTTATTTTTATTTGTTATTATATTTTTTATTGATTATTAATTTATAGTAATTGTTATTATTATTACAATATTATTATTATTATTATTATTATTATTATTATTAATATTATTATTACAGTATAGTCTCGTTTTACGCGGTCAATTAAACCCATGGAGATCCGCGCGAAACGCGTAAACGAAATAACAGAACATATGGGATTAATTGAAATAGAGACTGGGCCTACCGCCAGACTACCCTTTTTCCGACACAATATGTACATTGTAGTAAAAATAACATCTTAATTTTATGATGGTATGCACACACAATTAATATTTAAGAGAAATATCAATAATATTAGATTTTTTAACACTTACGTTAGTAGAAGAGATGGCTGGGCACACGGGGATGGGGGGTTGGTTCCGAGGCAGAGGGCTGATTATTGGCCCTCACCTGTATCTCTATCCACCACAGAGGCTAGCAGGGCTTCCTTGTCAAACCCCTCAAATTCCATATCCTCACTATCACTGACTTGGGCTGGCTGTGGTGGGTGAAGAACTCGGTAATGTTTTGTTGACTGGGCAAGAACCTTTAAGTAGACCAATCACAGCTCGCGGCGGAGGGGATGCGTGGGTGGTAAGGATGCATGGCCCAATCACAGTCCGAGACGTAATCTGACATCAGCGGCGACGTAAGAACGACCTAGCACGCAGCTTGTCCGCGCCGCTTCCCGCGTAAATTCAGGAATGTACCTCGTAACTAATAATTGGTGCGTCTGGACAGGTGCCGTGTAAATGACCAACCGCGTATAAAAAATCCACGTAAACCGAGACTATACTGTATTATTATTATTATTATTATTATTATTATTATTATTATTATTATTATTATTATTATTATTATTATTATTATATCCCCCCCTCCCCCCCAGGCCCTGATGTGGGTCGGTGACCTGTGCCCAGGTGGGCTAATGCCTGTAAAAAAAAAAAAACCATATCCTATGGACTGTATACCATACTTACAGAACAATGTTTAAATTCTTGCTACAGTATATCATAGCCTAAGTCCTTATATACTGTATACATCTAAAATCACTTAATTTGAGAGGGAAGAAGAAATAGAATAATAAAATACAGTACTGTACTGTACTGTACCCTGCATATGAAAGTAAAATATAAATCCTCTGTTAAATAAATTACTGTAAATTTAAAGTTTAACTTTATGGGACTTTGTTCGTATTGACGGATGTTTGTAGGTCAGACGTACGTAACCCGGGGACCCCCTATTAGAAATTGGCAAGAAAATGCCTTTATAATTTATGTTATGCTGCATTCTTAAGTAATACGAGGTTCCATAGTCCACTTTTAGGGGAGTATGGAAGTTGAGGCAGTGTTTTGCTGAAGAGTACTGCATTATTTTCCCAGGGCAGCATTGCTTATGCCAAAGCACTTCATAAGGCCAACCTATTAACTGAAGAGGAGAGCACCAACATTATTGCTGGTCTAGAGGTTGTGAAAAGTGAATGGGCCAGTGAGACATTCCTTATTCAGCCAGGTGATGAAGACATCCACACTGCTAATGAACGCAGACTCAAGGTACGTTATTCAGCATGACCCTTGGTATTTCTTTATGCTGATGTTTTACATTTAATTATTAAGTTCTCATAGTTTGTTGAGGATGAACATTTGTAAAATTGTTGTTTATGAAAATAGATGATGAGGTTAAATGAATTGAATAGTTAATGTTTTAGATTAAACCAAGAGAAGTGTGCAATATGTAGCTCTAGCCATGTGACACATGATGGGGTGTGGGTGGTTAGGTTACAGTTGGGCAGGTTCAGAACTTGCAAGTCAGACATTAATTACCAAAGGTATCTTGCTAACCATTTCACAAACACAACTTAGGCACAGTTTTTGATAACATGTCCCAAGCATTTTGTTGGGTCTTATATAAGTACAGTGTAAGGTGTGTGGTGACTAGTGGGTTTGTAAGAACCTTTTTGCAGAAAGTTATGTTGATGTAAAGTAATGAAGAAAAGAAGAGTAGAGGCGAGATGTGACATTTGAAGGTTTGAAAGACACTTTCTCCCATAGGAAATTGTTGGTGACGTCGGTGGGAAGGTTCATACAGGAAGGAGTCGTAATGACCAGGTGGCTGTTGATATGAGGTTGTGGCTTCGTGAACATATATCACTTCTTGTGCCTCACCTTATTAAACTGCTTCAGGTAAAGTTTACCTGTATGTGCTGTACTTTGATATTTTTTTTCTTCAGTAATATACGATCTTTCATGTATGATATTGTGAAATATTAAGAATATAAATTAAATATGAAAAATCATGTGGCTAAGGATTCTCATTCGTTATTTTATTTATTTTTGTTTATTTTTTTACTTAGGAACATAAAAAGGACATCTGATCACCCCCCCCCACCCTTTTTTTTTGTTTCTGTAAATATAGGAACATATTTCTATTGCATAAAAACTTATAAATTCCATTTCATAATTCTGCATACAGAAACATTTGAACTCCTCTATAATGAATTAAAATATTTAACTACCATCTGTCTTCTGTAGTTTAAAAAAAATATATATACATTCCAGTGTGTAATCCACAAAACCTGTAGATTCTCATGTTTGTTCACAAAAAATATCAACACCCATATGTACCAAAGTAATACCCCAAAATATGCCCACTCCCCTATAATACACGGTTTCGTCTACCAACACACCACATGCATCACCACCAAATTCTTGATCGGTCTCAAGGTGAATTATTAAAAAGGGTCAAGATAGTTAAAGGAATCGAAGATAGCTTTTCATGGGAAATACAGGGGTAGGGGGGTGAGCTCATAAATTTTTGTTACTCACAAAATTTACTTTAAACTACAAGGGAGTATTGTAACATACAGTTATAAGTTTCAGCAGTAGGCTAACCCCACATATAAATAATATGTATACCCATGCTTTGTATTAAGCATGACATAAAACTACCCTGTAGTTATGTCTTTTGACCTTCATGGTGTGCAAAAAATCAAGGTGCCTAACTATTTATATTCATTTTATAGAAATGTAAATATCTAATGCAAAATATCATAAAAATACAATACAGCCCTGTACTATATAGACTTGTAACCACAGTGTCTTGCTCCGGGGAACTCTCAAGGTCATGCATGACTCAGTCTCCAAACTTGACTGACTCTCCTTCTCAATTTCAGTTGAATGGATGTCCTGTGCCTCCTCCCCATTACTGAATTTTGTTTCGAAATGCATAATGGGTTCATCATCATTCTCATCTAATATCAGGGTTATAAAGGGTTGCCTTTACTCTTGATGGTGGTGCAAGACACTCAGGGTTGTACATGTGCCATGATAAAAGCTTGGAACTGATGCTCACCCAGCTACCTTGGGTGTACAAAAACATGCAAACAGCCTGGTTTGCATATTGATGATTTTAGCAGTTTACTGGAAATTGTCAATTGATTTTAGCATGGTTATGGATAAGTATACATTCTTGTCCATATCACGAACATTTATGGTACCTTTTTTCATCCATGTTCTATCAACCATTAAAAACAAAACAAAAATTACATTCCATACAATGATGTTCAAATACATAAAAATTATATGAGTTAACTTGTTTACATGCCCATTTGCTGAGTGAAACAGTTTATTAGCATAGCAGTGTATGTATACAGTGGCACTTGTTTTGGCTTTCCACCACTAGCACTTGTCTTTGTAATGAAATAGGGAGTACTATACAGTACATGAGGAAGTCTTTAGTGCCACAGCACACATAAGACAGAAGATTGTTTTGTAAGTGAAGTTGACACAAACTAAACCATTTTGTGAAGAGTCAATTGGCAGACTTGATGAGTCTTGTTATATATAATTATAATGCTAAGTTTAGTAGTACAGTGCTTGACATTATTAGGTTATTGCAGGTATTTATTGAACGTGCCAAGAAGGAGAAGACAATTTTGATGCCGGGTTATACGCACCTCCAGAGAGCACAACCCATCCGCTGGTCACACTGGCTGTTGAGGTAATACAGAATTTTTTTTTTTTTTTTTTTGTGTGTGTTACCAACAGTTGTGTGTGTCGCTTCATCACTCACTCATTAACTCACTCCATTACTCATCAGTGGAGAAATATTTATTTATGACCAGCCTTTAAAGTGAATGATACTGTATATCATCTAAGTTGTATTCAAGTACAGTACAGTATATCCATGTTTTCCTGATTAATTACAGCATCTAGGGTACCTCAGAATGGCAGACAACCTTCCATCTTCTTGCTGGATGCCTTGGTTTTAATATTGAAGGATGTTAAAAGTGTAGCAGTTACCACTGATTATACTGTACCTCCATTGTACATACCGGTACCCACTTCTAGAAACTGTAACTGGGTCTAACCTCTGTTTTCACCTTCTAACCGCTCGGTTTGGCTTCTGTTGCCTAGAGAACCAGAAGGTATGAGAAGTACCCTACTGTATTTAAAGGCTTTTAATGGGAAGTATAAGGATTAGATCAGTTGTAACAACTTATATGCCCTTTAGTGCATTTTAAGCAATTTAACAGTATATCCACACAGATGCTGTATAGTATAGTACAGGTACTTGATATAACAAATAACAAAGGGTGACTTATTTGAATATTGATTGATAGCTTGGGCTATCCTATAATCATTCCATATAACTGCCAGATTGTCTATGAATATGTAATAGAGATCCTCAAGACACAGACAATAACTCGATCATACTTTAGCCATGATTACCTGATGGCACCTCTACAAGCTGCAGTCTGTTGTAGCCTACCCATAGCCTTCTTTCCCTCCTCTTCCAATTGGTCTCCTCAATTTTCTCCACATGCTCGAACCATATCAGCACAAAATCTTGCCAGACTCTTAATACTCGGCCACCCTCTCAGCTGTAAGCGAGGTTTCCTCCCTCTCGTCATTTTTATACTTCCATCATGCTATTGTCATTTCAACATGCTCAAGCCTACATATGTCGTCTTCTTTAAATGCCCATATTTTTTTGCTACAACACACTTCTCGTGCCTTTCAAGGGAAGAGGAAGTCCTCTCACCATCAGTAAAGACAATTGCAACTGAGCTAGCTTTAACACCGTATCCAGCACTGACCTTCTCACCTTGGTAACAGAACCCATCAACACAATCTAGGGATATATTTCCAGTGTCAAGCTTGCTTTAGCCTTGCTAAGGACACATGATTTCCTGCACATGCACCACAGTTAAAGTGAGCAAAATTGGGATATTTCTATGCACTTTTAAAAAACAGATTTTACCCTAAACTGAGGTTGCAAAGAGAATTATGTTTCAAGTTTTAGCTTGTCGTGAATAGCATTTACACTTACATAGAGGAAATGGATCTGTAGGGTAATTAGAAGTATTTGAGATTATTTGGGGTAAAGGTCATAGGGAACTTGAATGACAGCTGGTACAATATTTATAAAGAAAGGCAGGTACAGTAGTGTACTGTATTTTGAGACCATGTTAAGCAGTTCAAAATAAATAGATATGAAATCAAGTGTACATATCTAGCTTAACAAAAAAAAATCAGTTTGTCTAATAACCAAGCTTGTCTAATGCAGAATTTTGTTTTCACTCTGCTGTCTGTGTAGTTGATAATTTTTTTAACTTTGATTGTGCTGTAAATAATGCTCACAATATAACAACTCCATGTGTTTGCTTATGTTCCCACCTTAATTTTCAGAATGCCTCAAAATCTGTGCTGTAAGAGATAACAGTTTGTGGCACAATAAATAATTGGGTATGGCATAGCAAGTTTTCCTGGTATGCATGGTGCATGAGGAAGCCAATATATTTGTGCTTATGATAATAGAATTTTACCAAGTATCATTGGAAAGGAATTGAGTAGTCTAACAGTAGTACAATAGTATTGTACAGTATATCCTTATGCTAGTACAGTACAGCACAACAGTGCATGTATACATACTCTGTAGATGCTTAATGATGTTACATCATTTTCCATTTAGGACTAGAAGTGTGTATGCTTTTTACTGCTCATATTATTTTTATCATATACTGTAATATCTTCCTTTATTTTATTTTGTGGTGTCATTCACACAGTTGCTGAAGGCAGAAAAGTACCCATATCAGCATTTTGATGATCAGTAATTATTCTTGTTATCAGACATTTATGGGCATTGCATCTCCCTTATCACTTCTAAATACAGGTAACTGACTGAGCAGTACTTCATAACAACAGACCAATGATTTATACACTAAAGTACTAACTGACCTCATTGTAGAATAAAGAAGTTCAGTAGAGCATTTACTGTCTCCAGCTCTCGACAACCAGTATGGAATATTGAATGTCTGACACTTGGAGGCTGTGTGCCCTCCACTGAGCTTCTTCATATTTTTGTAAACTGATTTTTAATGCATGTAGAAGTAATGCTTGTTTTACAGTACAGTTTTAGTTAGAAAATAATAATAATTGACAAGAGAAAACATGAGGAAGGTAAAGGCATATTTTAAGGTATGGTAAATACATTGTGAATGATACCAGAACAAACAAAACCAAAAAAGTTTGTGAAAACTGTATAAGATGCTGCCAAGGTAATGTAGAAATACAGTAAGTACCAAAAATCTCCATGAACTGTGAAGTTTTTCTAGAGATTATTTTTATCATCATTACAGAACCTGATAATAGAGGTAAAATTACCAATATGCTGTAGTCAAATTATGATGGAAAGAATTTGTTGAGACTGTGTTTGCTATGATGGCATGAAGACAGACATCCCTACTCTGCTCTTGTGTGTGTAATGCTACCTTCCTTGACAGACAAATTTAGTGATCCACAGGGAGATTTAACTTGAGCTTAGTTGCTCTTCATCCTTCATTCCCTTTATTTTGTTTGTTTGCTCTGAATGTATATTTTAGAACTTTTTTCCTCTTTCAGATTATACATCCATTCTGTATTATATATGGAGTATAGGTGGTCTCTGCTATATGTCGCTACCATATAATTATGTTGACGAAAGCAACTTAAAAATTCCCCGCACTAAATTCGTTTTTTTTACTCGGTTGACTTGGCATAAACAACTTTGGACCCTGATTCTCGTTTCCATTGTATTTTATCATGTTGTTTGTGCAGCTTCACATTCAGCATCGATTGTACCTGGATTTATCCTTGCAATCATTCAATAACGAATGACAAGTATAGTGTAAGGGTAGGTGGTAGGGGGAAGAAAAAGGGTATGAAAGTTACGCTGGATATTAAGTTGGACATTATAAAGCATGCTAAACAAGGTGAACATATCCACTACTCAAAGTAAAATAAATACATTTATAAGTTAAGGTCAAATTATTGTAAAATGACTTTGAAATTTTTTGCTGTTTTTCCCACTAAAAATTTTTAGAAGTGAACTCCCTCTTGTCCGGATTCGCTTAATCCGGATCCATTTGCAAACTGGACTTAGGTCCAGCGCCAGACGCATGTATCCCCAACCCGGGAGAAAACAACCAAAATTTAATTAGTATGGGGAAAAGTTCATGTAAACGGGGGCTGTGTGGTGGCACGGGAGGGTAACTCAACAGCTGCCTTAGAGGAAGCAGTAGAAAACCTTTGAGGGTGTTAAGACTAGGCTAAAAACAGTAGGTTCGATGCTCTTAGGTAGCTTGAGTCAGAAATTCCCCATCCTCTCTAATTTTCCACCTTGCAATATGGACAATACAGACCCCACCCAACCCAAAATTTGGGCCAAACTGGACAGGTCTTCCCCCTTCATTAGTCAAGATTAAAGGAAATTTACTCTGTACACTAAAAAGCTTCTGTTTAAGTCATTGCTTAATATTATCATAAATACATTTTCTATTTACAAGAGTATGTAGAAAACTTGAAATCTGGTCTCTATTTCTACCTTATTCATTATTTCTTATGGGAGAAATTATCCCACTTTGTATTGCATAAGTGACATAAGCGCTTTTGCGGTCCGTCCCTCTGTATTTACCTGTATTTTTACGGGGCAATTCCCCGCTTAACATCGTTTCACTTTAAGTTGCGTGACTGATCCCTAACTCCAATATACCGTTATTTCAGGGTAGATTTCTACAGTGGATGTTTTATTAATTTATTGAAAGACAAAAACCAGTGAATTTTTTATAAGAATTCTAATGTTCATATGTGATGTAGTGTTTCAAATTAATCTATAAGCTATCATTGTGATCAACAGCCAAAATTAAATACTAGGGATAATGCAATTACATTTTCTCTGAGTAAACATCTTTTTTGGTTTTTTAGACTGCTAAACTTGCTGCACTTGGGTAATTAATTTGAGAAGAGAAGGTAAATCTTGTACAAGTATAATGATAATTAATATGTAGAATTTTTGGTATACTGTACTGTATTATACATGTCCATGTTAATCAACCAGTAATCTTTATATGCAGTCAGAAAGGTTGATCTTTGATCAAAGGTAAGCATCAAGTGGCAAGTCATCTGATGATAATTTTAATTTTGTTGCGGGGAAAATGGTGAATAGAATATAGAATGAAGAAGTTTCAATTGTATAAGGGAAACTGGATAAAATTAAGACATGGAGTTATAGAAGTTAGCCCTTAAGATAGCCAGTAGAATAACAGAAACTAACCCTTAATGAGAAATCTAAATATATTGAAATATTGATACATGCCATAGTAAGATATTAGTAATCAACAGTGTAACAAGAAGTGGTGTATAAGGTCATTTAGCTCATCTAACAGTTGACTTCCTCAGCCATGTGTGGCCTATAGTAATGGATTTGAAGCGTCTTCAAAGTCTATACTTGCGTGTCAACATCTGTCCTCTGGGGTCAGGAGCCTTAGCTGGAAACCCCTTTAGGATTTACAGGGAAGGCTTGGCTAAAGAACTTGGCTTTCAAGAAGTCACAAGAAATAGCCTCCATGCAGTTGGCGATCGGGATTTTGTTGGTAAGTGTTCACAACAGATCATCCTATCATGTAATAATTGTACACTGTCCTCCCACTCCTGTTTCGTCTCCAGGTGTCATGCAAAGTGTGTGCAAAAAGGGGTTACTAAGTGGGCGCTCCATTTATTTGTCAAATTTGTTTCACTTTTGCTTGTTTTTCTGGGTAAAATGTTAGGCACTTTTAAGCTAGTAAGCTGAAATATGGACAAAATAGTGACTGGTTTTTTTTTATGGCATGGCATGGAGGGCAGTGTACATTGAGCATTCTGCTACTTGTATAACACTATACATGAGTTCAGATTTTAATATTACAAAAAAATTTACATTTTAATGTCACTTACTCATATAATAGCTGACACAAAAGAGAGAGTTCTTGGTAATATTAGCACATTATTTTCAGTGGAATATATGTTTTGGGCCAGTTTGTTAAGTATACACTTGAGTCGCCTGGCTGAAGACCTCATCCTGTTCTCCACCAGCGAGTTCGGCTTCGTGAAACTTTCTGATGCATATGCCACTGGCAGTTCTCTGATGCCCCAGAAGAAGAACCCAGATAGTCTTGAACTGATAAGAGGGAAGGCAGGAACTATGGCAGGAAATGTAAGAGATTTAAAACATTACGAGAAACTTGTACAGCCGTTTAGTTTTGATCTTTGAGTTGAGATTTAAATTCATCACAAGGAAAATCTTTAATAATTTTTCTACAAGCTAAGAATATTTGTATACCACATTTCCTTTTCATAAGTACAATACAGCTTTTTCATTTGCATGATGTTGACCATCTTAAAATTTTATTACATGAATATTAGTAATCTTGTATTCAGCAGAACTCAAGTACAGTACTGTATTAATGTAGTAAGATTGAATGAATGACAACAAATGAAGGAAGATTTTATTGTACTCTTGCAATTACAGTAGTTACTTACTATGTTGTAAGGTGACTGAAGTCAAGAGTAAAAATAGACACCTCCTACACACACGCACACACACACACACACTCTCAATCTGATTACTGTTACATCCACAAAAATTAACTGACACTATTCACTCCAAATCATTCCAGTGCTCATCTACTTCTGGATAAAAGAAGAGAGAGTGTGTGTATGTGTGCATTATATATAATATATAAAGTAAATTAACTGCATTATTTTCAGCTGTGTGGCTTTTTGATGGTGTTGAAAGGATTACCATCAACTTATAACAAAGATCTACAAGAAGACAAAGTGAAAATGTTTGAGACAGCTTCTACAATGTTGGGGATTCTTCAAGTGGCTGCTGGAACAGTGGCCACACTTACGGTTGGTCAAATGTTACAATTTTAGACAACAAATGGTACTGCACTACTTTTTTAATGAAAAATTATAAAGTATTAGAAATAGTTGTCTCAGCACAAGCTGGTCATACAATTCTCTTGAGTAGGATTGGCATTCATAAAGGTGACTGATGCAACTAAAAAAAAATACTTGACTTGAATATTGTTGAAAGTGCAGGTGAAGGTAAAATGTAGAGATACAATACAATAGTCATAATCATTTTTAAGGTTGGAAATCAAGATCATAATCTAATCATAATGTGAAAAGATTTAATAATCACTGTACACTATAATCATAACCAAATTAGAAAATCATATAGTCAATGATTATAATGTGATTATTACTTGAAAATTTTCCATATTGTTTATTTGAAGAAAACTAAATTCAAGTTGGTATTATTTGAATATAAGAGCAGCCACGTTTATACACACCAGACTTGTATGCGTCTGATGCACGTCCATGGCAGGTGGCTGGAAGGATCTCAAATTAAGTTTCATTCAGAATTTAATTTTTAATTTTTTTACTTTCACGTAAGGAATGTTGTTACTCTATTAGAATTATGTCTACTACCATGTGTAAATTATTATAAGAGATGTGCTCATTAATTTTCAAAGTAAAAAGCATCTCTTTTCCCCAAGTAGATTTAATTAAGAATACTACAGGAATTTGTTTTTTACTTTCAAACACTGGTAAGGAATATAAACTACTGTATTACAATGTGTTTAGTTTGGACACTGGCCATATGGTTAATCCTAGACACTTCTCAGTGTCGTATATTAAGTAAGAGGGGATTTTTGCACACTAAGATAGTTAAGATAAAGGTTGTGCATTTGTGCATTTAAGATGCTTGACTCATTACTTATCAGGCTCCCAACCTTAAGTCAAACTCAGCTTCAAATCTCCCTTCTGTACTCCTCAGCAACCATGATTGATACTGAGGAGAGTAGGTTAATAATCTTTGGACTAATGCCAGCCACATTAGTTTGGGATTTCTTGGGCCAAACCCACTCACCTTTTGTAAAGCATTATGCACGAGTCATTTGTCGATAACACTATTATAAAATAGGTTTTCAGGATCATACCCTTATTGAAAATAAGAAAATTTCAGGACTTGTTATACTATGTGTAACTTTTTTTTAAATAGATGCAGTAAATATATTATCATTTATGCAGGTAAATGAGAATGCCTGTCGAGAGGCCTTGTCTGAGGAGATGCTTGCAACTGATGTTGCCTATTATCTTGTGAAGAAAGGGGTAAGTTGTATTAAATGATTCTAGTTATCTACTAATCAGTTCTCCCATTATAGAGTTGTTGCTTTTCATTATGATCAAATATAAAATGACCCCCATGTACATCTTGTTTCTCCTTGTAATTAAATTTGTTTCTTCATAACTTCATCTATACAAGTATTATTAACTTAAGTTAGGTTAAGATTTCCAAAATTTAGCCCAGGAATGCATCCCTTAATGATAACATTCAATTCCTTGGGGAAAATGTGTCATATACTATGTGTGTTGTGTTTTTAGAAATACATCCCTGGCATAAACTGGGAATTTGGTGAACAGCAAATTTTATGTAGTGCTCATTAATGTACAGTAATACCGAGGAGCAAGTTTGTATACTACAGTACAATTCCATTTATCCAAATTCCAACTATCCGAATCTTCCAAGTATCCGAACTTTTATTCCCTTTAGTCCTGTTCGGTTAAAATTTTAATTTATTCCACCTATCACCTCCCCCGTCGCTCCCTTGCACATAAAAGAATTGTTTATTCCCTTTGTGTTTTTTACCTTAAGATGATGATGATTATTATTATTTATTATTATTTTTTTTGCACATTATTTATGAAAGATTGTGTGTTCATGTAATAGAGTTAAAAAATATATAAATCGTATATCTACTTCAAATTCCACTACTACCCACAACGTCTGTACATAAAGTTTTAAGATCTGTAGCGGAACTTCCGTACATGTTTAAGAACAATACCTTACATATCTTAAATACATGCATACTGGTATGTTTGTACATATAACATGTTCATATGGTACTGTAGGTTTATTATTTGTGTTTGTTTGCACATTTAAGGTGTTTTTATTGTATTGTAGGTTAAATTATTGCGTGTTCTTGTAGGCACATCCAGGTATCCACATCCAGGTATCCAAACCATTGGTCCCAATGAGTTCGGATAAAAGGAATTGTAATGTATTCTGTATTGAACTTGGTGAGAAAAAGTACAGTAAATCACACGTAATGCATGATAGTTTTACCTTATTATATTCACATCTCTAATAGGGATTAAATTTGTTACAGATGGCATTCCGTAATGCACATGGGAAAGCAGGTGAAGTGGTAAAGTTGTCAGAGGAGCTTGGATGCCCCTTGTCTGAACTTACCCTTGATCAGCTTACCAAAATTAGGTTTGTTCTTCATATAATTTTATTGTTGTTTCAATCTGTAATTTGTCAGTCATATTCTTGACAATGTGTGCTTTACATGGTAAGTTTGTTGTTATAAGTGCAGTAGAATATCTCATTTTCGTAGATTATCCTTGTAAATGTCTTCATAGATTGTTATTTTCCTTGGTGTGTGGTTGAACATTAAGACACACTGTTTACTTAATGTAGCTGAATTTCTCTTAAATTTTAGTGACTGTAGGTGTTTTGGTTTATGGCCTGCAACAGTATTACTGCTAAATCAAGTTTCAAGTTGACATCCAGATATATTTTAGTAAATGTTACAGCTTAAAAAAACAAGAGTTGTAGAAGAAATGCTGGAAATTAGTAATAATTTACAAATATTTTATATTTTCAGTCCCCTGTTTGCAGAAGATATTTCATCTGTATGGAATTATGAACACAGTGTTGAACAATATGAAGCAACTGGTGGGACAGCACTTAGCAGTGTCAACACACAGATTACTGAAGCTGAAGATTTCATCAACACTTTCACACTACAGTAACCCAAGAAGGTCATTAAATTAGCTGCAAACAAAGCAATTGAAATTTTGATGATTTTCAACTTGTAGAATTTTATTTCTAATCTTTTTTTATTTTTAGTTTTTTGGATGGAGCTTCAAGAAAAGTGTAAGGACTGGTTTTCATAGTTGTAGTAGTAGTAGAAGTTTACCACTTGTAGACAGGATCTCCTGTGTACTGAATGAACTCATCTGGCCTTAACCAAATAAAATGTTAAAAGTGGTGTCCTTGTAGTGAAGTGGTTAAGCGCCATAATTAAAAAACTGGCCCTATGATTTTTATTTATGAATTTTAGGACCTTTGACTCTTAAAGTATATTTGAAGTAATATATAACTTATTTCAGGTTTTATATGTTTTGTGATATTTAAAGAGCCTCATAAAAAACTGGCTGAACATTTTTTTTTTTTTTTTCAAATATTCAAGGATAATGGCCATTGTCAGATATACTGTATGCACATATAGAGATCTGTAGCTTGAATCGTTTTAAATCTGCATAGATGCCTTTTTTTTTTCTTTTATTGCTTCCCTTTTTAGAGGCCAGTACTGTCACTCCATCTGGTCCCCAAGATATGTTAGAGACAGTCATTTGATTGAAAACATTCAAAGATTGGTTCCTTCATTGTGGTACAGTTGGCTCCACTCCTGCATTTACAACTTAGCATTGCCAATCTTCTCTCTCCCTGAGGTGCGAACACTGAACTCTGATTTCAAAAGTATTCGCGAGAGGGTGAGAGGAGGGGTGTGTCGGGGTAGGTGTCTTTTTGTGGTGGGAACACGGGGTACTGTGGGTGAGGAGAAAAGTGTACAGTATATCAATTGGGAGAGATTACAATGCAGAATAATGCTTTGACAAAAGAGGTTTCTTCAGCCGAGTGTAACCGTCTAGAGCTTGCCAGATGAAAATACTATGTTTCAATAGGATGAGAGAGAGGGATGAATTCATGTTCTAAGTGAGATGTTCCTTTACAAAATGGGGCATTTACAGTAGGAGCAAATGTATAATGAATATGCTTGAATCTATAATATATCTTGTAGAAGCAGCAAAGTTTTGTTTAACCCCTTAACTACAAGAAGTTACAGGAGTGACTGGAACCTCTCCTATCAGGGTTGCCCCATTACCTAGGTCCTAGAAATTATATAACAACAATTGATCCAATACAATTGCAAAAACAAATTTGGTTTACCAAATAGTGTATTTATCTTAAAGTAAATACAGGTAATAAGATATTTTGAATCAATTAGGGTTAATGCCTTTATACATGCCTTGTTCAAATGGTAAAAGCCTATGCTCAAGATTGTAATATTCTAGGAACTTCACTATTTGTTTTTATGATTGATTGTCCACTAGTAAGCTCATAATCACTTTTATATATGGTTGGACGGAGGCCCCATTTATTTTTCCTATATATCCCCATATATGTGTATGCATCTGGTTTATACACCAATTGACATTTGAGTCCAATCTTTCGTATGGCATGTTCCAGATGGCATACTTCTTCCTCATCTGTGAAATCCTTATTGTAAATACATAATACATGTGTGTTTTTATCTGTAGACAAGGGGCTAACTTTTGCAGAAATTGCTGGAAGCTGATCTTTCACAATTGCTGTGGCCACTTTTTTCCAGTAACTATCAACTTTTGCATTTGGCCCTGCATAGATAATCCACTTACCACATGTCACACAGTATTGTTTTGCTAGTTCACTTATGGTCTCCAAATTAATTGGTCTCCCAGAATGCTGCAGTTCCTTCCAGGCATCCATAAGACCATCCACATCATGAATTTGGCTTTCAGTTTCCCTATTCCTGCCACAGATTGCAATCCAACCAATTCCATCATCCCTGAAATATATTAAGTGGATATATTATTAACAATAATTTCAATAAACACTTACGTTTCCTCTAATTCCTTCTTTCAAACTAGACTGATTAATCATCCTCCGATTCACCAATGACTTGATAACTAACACCTCATCACAGTCACAAAAAATTCTGTAGGCAATGACAGCCAGTCACCAAATGTATCTCCTGATTCATAGGAATGTTGAAATTTTTTCAACTTTTCCCAAATAAGATATTACGTAATGTGAAATCAAAAAAAGATCATGGATAAAACTAGATCCTGGAGCTGACTACTGTACTCGTAAGTGACTGCTGAAGTAGAACACAAAAAATATATGGATATTTATTCCATAAAATATTCATACATGTTTTCATTTAATATCTACTATACAGACAGTGCAAATATAAAATTAATGGTAAAAAGTACAGTAAGTCAATTCAACCAAGGATAGCAAACAAAATAATCTTTTGCTTATTTCCAGTTGGGTCCGAGTTCACTATAGCGCGTTTTTACCCAGCTGAGAAAAGATACTCTGCCCCCTCCTCAAGAGTTACAGCTGATTGGCTGTTGCAAACCTGTCCGAGTTTGTCCTGAAGTAATGATGTATTTCTAAATGAGTTTATTCATAATCGTTGGGAACACCGTTTCTGATGAGAAAAATATTTAGCTAAATTATATAAAGATACATAAATTCATTATTTCAAACATAAGTACATAGGAAGTTTATCAGAAGTACAGTATTACCGGTATACATGAATTAACTGTTAAACTCGGGTAGCAAATTCACGCTTTTGGAGGATGCATTTAATATATACTTATTTTTACCCACAATAAGGCATACTAAGACAAATTACATAACAGTAAAACTACATTATGCAAAAACAACATTTTTAAAAGATCAGAATCGAATAGAAATATTACACGGCCGTCAGCAGAGGCGGGAAATATGACTGAACAATTTCTTATTTTTCCCACCACAGTTGTATTTTTCAGTACCACTACATCCAGTTTGTTTCTTTCAATATAAATATGTAGTCTACATATGGCCTCTGCATTATAGTATAATGTAGAGGTCATATTCTATCTGTTAATTTAATGTTCATTGGTCAGAATCATGGACCTGGTGTTACTGGACCAGAAAGGAGAGAGTAAATCAAAGGAAGCTTTCTGGTGGACAGAGTAGCTGGTATAAACAAGGTCATCTAATTTTTTCATTACAGTACTGTACCATAAATTTTGTTTTCCAAGTAAAAAAAAAATATCTATAATTAGAGTAAAATATTTGGGGGCATAAATGTGTAAAAAAAAAAGTTTAAATAATCATGATCGCGGAACTACAGGAGCACACTTTGTTTTTAACTTGAAAAAAGTTGAATGTAAAAAGGTAAAAAATATTTGCTTCAGTGCATGAGACACACAATTGTGTATGCAGACAGGACAACATTATTTTGATATTTTTTACCTGGATATCCGTGAAGGAGCCCACTCTTCCAGCCAGTCATCGATGGATTCAGTTGACTTGTTTGGATCATAAACAATCCACTTTTCATCATCTGAGGCATGAGCTTCAGCTAGTATAGTTTTGTAATTTTTTGCCATGGATATTAATGGATCAACAGCTATCTAGTACAGTACAGTAATTTAATTATTTAATTTGGCTTTAAAATTATCTCTTCTGGTATCACTATTCTCTTTTTTTTTTTTACTTTAATTTTCTGTTGAAAATACAACCCATTCTGAAAAAAAAAAAAAAAGTTACCCAAAGCTATATTGTATACATACAGTATTCAAGATTGTGATAAAGGTGATGTATAAATTGAAGGAACATACACACGCATACTGTACATACACACTTATGTTTTGGTCGATCTATTATTATCATCATTATTTTATTATTTTATTTTTGTTTGTTTTATCATAAATTTTATTTATTATGAATTATTATTATTAGTATTATTATTATTATTATTATTATTATTTTTATTTATTATTATTATTATTATTATTATTATTATTATTATTATTATTATTATTATTATTATTATTATTATTATTATTATTATTATTATTATTATTATTATTACTACTACTACTACTACTACTACATTTTCGCCCCCCAGGCCCCGATGTGGGTCAGTGACCTGTGTCCGGGTGGGCTAATCCCCATAAAAAAAAAAAAAAAGGTGCAAACATTTAGTAATAGTTTTAAATTATAAAAATTTAGATTTGGGCATGAGATAGGTAAACACTGGTTGAGAAATAGAGCGGAACAAGTTACCAAACTCCATTGTTAACTTGAACACATTGAGAAGCTTTAAAAACGGGGCTGCCTAGTATGGGCCAATAGACCCGCTGCAGTTTCTTCCATTCGTATGTCATTAACATGTGGTACAATATGTGAAAAGTATTATTGCATCAAATAAAAAACTTAAAAATTATGCTGCATAGTCTAGAAAATGAAAGAATTTGGAAATATGTGATATGATTTCATATGAATAAAATCTTTAAGCAGCTCTTTTTTTTCCCTGATATTGTATTTATGACTAATTGAGTTCAGTACTTTTTGTAGCATTTAATATTCACCATTATATAGCATTAAACACCATTCATAACTGTAATTAAATAGGATTTTATTTTGTTCACCTAATTTAGATTCATAGGAATCATGATTAAATTTTTTTAATGTAACTGTAATCAATTACATTACTTTTGGAAGGACTCTTTAATCATAATCATGGACTTGCAAGGTAATCATAATTATTGTTGAAAGACTGCAAGAGGGTGAGATTTCTGACCATGGCCAAGCAGCAAGCATGTTACTTTTAATGTGGTGTGTGTTGTTTAATGTGTTTATTTATTTAATTGATTTAGGGTCTTCTTTCTGTGTTCATACAGGCCAAGAACTATGGTGGACAAAAGTCCCTTCCCTCAGCCAGCCACAATATGACTGAATCACCTGAGGTTCGAATAACAAGGCAACTGAGGGAAGAGCTGTAATCGTCCAACAGATGGGGCACTATGTAGTGCGTATGGGGGGTGGGGTGGGGGAGAGAGCGAGGTTGAAGGAACTTTTGTCCACCATAGAACAAATCCCATTATAAGGCTCATGATTTACGTAAATATGGTTTACATTAAAGTTTTCAGGAATGTAACCCTATTGCAATTGTGGTTATGCTTCATATACTGTACAGTACATCAAAAAATTACTGGGGTATTTTGCTCTATGTCTGAACCAATGAACCATCCCCCTCAACAAAACAGCCATTCATGTACCCTTAGCACAGCACTATGGAGCCTACACAATCACAATCTATATCCCAAAAAGGAATTTATCATTAATGTTACATTTATAATCATAAAAGCATCTGCATCTGGAGGCAGGCTTTGAGGAATTTCATGCAGAAGGGGTTGAAAAAAATATACTATACGTATATAAAAGCTGATCCTGAAAAATAGCTTTTTAATATTTTATTTTATGATAGTAGCTCCTTTGTAGGTAGTAGGTAGTAAGCAGCTACCAAACAGGGAGGTACTACCGCCTGGGAAGATATTGGAAGCATAATGTATTGGCTAATGGTAGACCCTGCTTCCATATGACATCACGAAAATTGTGACCAAGTTTCAGGTTGCCGATCTGACTTTCTGCCTCATTTACATACACAAAATTGCAGGGTCTCAATTGTTTCTCTTACTATTAACAAACAACATACATATATGATTTCTCATTTTTTGTTCTTTATGGCTCTTATCATTATTATTATTATTATTAATATTATTACAGTATTGTTGTTGTTATCATTATTATTTTATTTTAATTTTTTTTTTTTTCATTATAAATTTTATTTACTATGAATTATTATTATTACATTTTGGTCCCCCAGGCCCCAATGTGGGTCAGTGACCTGTGCTCAGGTGGGCTAATCCTGCAATAAAATAAAAAATAAAATAAAATACTACCAACTGTAAGATTTATCACCAGAAAAGATCAAGGTTAAGATTCGATTTAGGTCAAACATGGAACTTCGTGTACCTATTTATATAGGGAGAAAGAGCAAATAAGGAAAATACATTACTGTACTTTATTCTATTACATTTCTGGCGCAAATTTATATCTTTTTACTATTTTAACCAATATGACCCTCCCCCCCTCCCAATTACCAAAACTATTGGTTGTTCAAAGAGTACAGGGCTTTGAAGTAGGGGGAAAATGTGGGATAAAACACAAGAGATTTTTTTTTTTCAACTAAGGTTAGGTTAATTTATAAATAATCATTTTTAATACATTTGCACAGACTACAACAGTGTCCACTATAAAATACAGCGATATTGCGGCGTTTTCAATGAAAAATCGGCGGCAGGTCAGTCATCAATAATTTCCAAAATAACTATTATTTTAGGTTAAGTTTAGTTGGGTAGTTTGAGTCTGGTTCATTTTTTTTACTGATAAGTCATAGGATTTAGCAGTACCTGGTATTTAAGAAATGTTAGCTCTTGCCAGGATTTTCTGAGAAGCATCAAAATAATTTATCATTCTTAGAATGAAACAAACTTACCTACCAAACCTAAAATACTAAAATCATCTTGGCTTTATTATTGCAATAAAAGTAGATCTTAAAAAAAATCACAACCCTGCAAAGGACACAGGGAAAATTGTTGTCAACACCTCCCATATGTAAAGAATTGTAAAGGTGATATTAAGAAAGCATATTCCTCAAGTACTTCTTGATGTTTTCATGAGTTAAGAAAACCTGTATCTCTTTGGATAATATGTCCTATAGTTGGTAGATAAGGATAATGTGTTCTATAGTTGCTCGATATGGAGTGCCCCTGTCCTAAACTATTGCAGCACCTAACTATTACCGAAATGGGAATACAGTAAACCACTATAATTAAATTTATACATGACCACCACCGGTACATGTTCAGGTATATTCTGGTCATTACATGCCCGGTGATTGCTGTGTGTGCCTGTCCAGTACATGCCAAGATAATTGTACGAAAAATTCCATTTTGGCAATTTACTTTATTTTTACTGACCATGTAGATAAACCTGGGGGAGAAATACCCTACGTGAAAGTTTGTGTAAATGAATATTAACTATTACCAAGGGCGAATCCAGGGGGGTCTGGACCCCCCTTTTCATCAGAAAATTCCAATTCTTTTTCTCTAATGCAGTGTTGTACTCAGCTATTTTTGTATAATAAAAAGTAATTGCTATTGTCCTCAGTATATCTCCTAATATCAAGTGCACATGGCCTCAAAATGCTTTGCTCGCCATGCCTCCCCCCTTTGATATTCCTGGATCCGCCTATGGTTAGTGACATGGATTCATATTTAAAAACCAAGTCGGCAGTAGTTTTAATCACTCAAATGTCTTCCCCTCCGTGCGGGACCGTCGAGGGTAGGGTTGGTAACCCTGACCACCTTCGTTGATGCATTATGGGTAGTCTCGTGTGGTTGGTACACCGGAGGTCCATTTGTTTACAAACCCTGGCATCAAATTCAAGACTACACGGACGATCATCAACATGAGTTACGCCTACTCTCAACCAGTGAGGGCAAGCCTTATAACTCACAGAGAACAGGATTTTAGTACCTTAATTGTGGAGGAAAAAATGTTACAAAGTACCTGTAGACATGTACTAAGGTAGTGTTATTAAAGAAGGAAGTGTGGATGTCCCCATATTATCCAAGTTCAAAGATGGAAAACCTGGGAACATCTTAAAATAATGTAAGTTCAACAATTTGTTGTTACATAGGTTATGTTAAATAGGGTGCAAATGACTACACACTCCAAGACGAGCAAACTTCTCATTTTCGTCCTTGCCTCCTGTAATCCACACCAGACTTAAAGTAGGTTCCTTGGTTTAAAGTTGGGTATTTTTATAGTAGTTTACACAACATTCCTACCCCAAATCTATTATCATATTCGAAAAAGATGTCTATTTTTAAGATAATTTTCTTCTATTACAGCGCATGCCAAATTTTTCTCTGTTTAATTCCATTAATATTCAGCCATTATCGGTTGACAACCCGCTGACCGCAGTTTATCGCCTACCTGACCTCCCACTCAGTGTGTTCCCTTCATAAATCGTCATGATCAATCAAAAAACACAAAAAGAAAACAATAGGAAAACATAGTTTTGACTTTCCAACAGGATTGTGTGAACTACTATAAGCTTACCGGTAAAAACACCGTAAGAGTTAGGTCAGGTCAGGTCAGGTCATTCCAAAAAGGGTTGGGTTTATATGTTTTTCTAGTGTTTTTTGGTATTTTGTATTCACTTGACCATGATTTTTTTCGAAAAGCGCTTGTTTCTCAACCCCCACCCAAAACCCCAGCTCCTTACAGGATCCTCTTATCATGTTGGGGTAGAAGGGCGATAACTAAAAAAAAGTCAATTTTCGACTGAAATCAAAGTCAGAACCAATAAAAAAAAAACACTAGAAAAACATAGTTTTGACTTTCTAACAGAGTTGTGTGAACTACTGTAAATTTGCCCAAAGTTGAACACAAGTAGTTCAAACATTAAATAAAAAGTAAATCAAAGTAATGGGGGTGAACCCTCAGTTCCTGTACCGTGTATTGCTCCTCCAGTAAAGTAAATCACAAGTCTTTAGAAAAGTTCATAATATTGGCCGTAATAACATTAATGCAAAATAAACAAAGTTTCTTAAATTAATATTATGATTTTCTTTATTCATTAAGTGCTTTTAATATAAATATTCGTAAAACAAACAAAATTATGAAGTGGATAACGCCTTCAAATTCCACTATTATTACGTATAATTCGTGTTTCCGCCGCCTCACCGTCCACGTTAGAACAGATAGATAAGATAGAGAGACCGACTTGATTTGCCATATTTGTCATAGTCACCCTTCCTTCCGAAGTATCTTTGAATGGTAACCCCCCCACCTTCCCTCAACAGTAACCAGCGCAGGAGGACAAAGACCCCGACCTCGTATTCTATGGAGCTTGGTCTAAACGATGGTAGATGCTTGATGGTGATTACCCCGGACGAAGTATTTTGGGTGTTGCATCTCTCTTGAAAGGTACCTAATAAATATTTTATAAGGATAAAATTCTCAAATTACGTAAATATGATTTGTATTATAACAGCTTGGCTTTCACTTTGGTCGTTAGTCAAAATACCAGTGCGCATATTTTCTAGACATGCGCAGTACGTAAAGTATACAGTCGCTGAGTATCACTGACACAGTCGCGCGGCAGCTAGTGTAACGGTGACACCGCGACCCTGTGCGGCTTGACGTTTACTGAAAGACTGGTAGTGGTGACGTTAACTGTGTAAGACTGTGGTAATGGTGACGTTAACTGTGTAAGACTGTGGTAATGGTGACGTTAACTGTGTAAGACTGTGGTAATGGTGACGTTAACTGTGTAAGACTGTGGTAATGGTGACGTTAACTGTGTAAAACTGTGGTAGTTATGAGTTAACTGTAAGGGAATGAATGTATTGTGTTCATTATATATTCTAGTTAAAATATTTTGTATAGAGTATTATATATTCTTATGGGCAAAATAGAGTTCGCTGTATATTATTTTATGAAAGAAAAAATATAATATACTGTATAATACCCTCAATAGCGCTGGCATGTGGAGACCCTGGGTGGTGGTGATGGTGGTGGCGGTGGGGTGGATGGAATGTCACATACAAGGTCCACCCAGGAACTACACTGTCAAGTCTGGCGTTTGTAAATTTAACCAGGAACTTCAATCTTGTCGTCACCAGGTATCTGTAGCAATTTTATAATAGTAATAATAATGATAGTAATGATGTTAGTAATTAAGTGAATGTAATATAAATTTAATAGTAAAAATATAGTGATAAGAGTAGTTTGTGGTTTTTACACATTTATATTTACATCTGAATACAGTATACATGATGAATACATTGAACTTTATATGTATTTATGTATACCTATGTACATTCCTCTGTATGTATACGAGCGTGTGTGTGTCGACAGCTCCTACAGGAGGGGCAACCAACAATGCACTTCACAAAGTCATCATTAACCGGATGTGTGATTTTCCGCGTCGTATACTGTAAATATATAAGTGCACAGGATATTAATATAATCAGTGTAACCTTCAACAATTAATACTGAGAACTAACACACACACACACACACTCTCTCTCTCTCTCTCTCTCTCTCTCTCTCTCTCTCTCTCTCTCTCTCTCTCGCTCTCTCGTTACACACAATGTATAATAATTATGAAAAATTACCTTCATATTTCCAGTTGAAGACGAGCCCGAGCGGAGGCAGTTGCTGGGTCAGAAAAGTGGTGGGCAAGGAGAGGACAGCAGGTGAGAGAGAGAATGAGAGAGTGAGATAGAGAGAGGGGGAGGAGGAGAAAATGCGAGTGAGAGAGAGAGAGAGAGAGAGAAGAAGATACTAGTGGATGAGTGGGAAGAAGTGAGAGAATAAATATAAAGAATCAAAGAGAAGAGAGAGAGAGATTACTGTATCCCACATGACCAGGAATGACAGGTGTTTTACTGTATCCCACATGACCAGGAATGACAGGTGTTTTACTGTATCCCACATGACCAGGAATGACAGGTGTTTTACTGTATCCCACATGACCAGGAATGACAGGTGTTTTACTGTATCCCACATGACCAGGAATGACAGGTGTTTTACTGTATCCCACATGACCAGGAATGACAGGTGTTTTACTGTATTCCACATGACCAGGAATGACAGGTGTTTTACTGTATCCCACATGACCAGGAATGACAGGTGTTTTACTGTATCCCACATGACCAGGAATGACAGGTGTTTTACTGAATCCCACATGACCAGGAATGTCAATAAGGAATTTCTTTTTTTTCCCCAGTGTGCACGCTTCAAGACAACACCCAACTCTATTCCGCCGTCAACCCTCCCTTCACCCTTACCATGTACCATCACTACAATAAAATCTTTCTGGTTGGCGCATTCTTCATCTCCTTCTCTAACCTCGCTGTCGAGAGTAAGTCACTGGGGTGTGGTAGAGTAAGTCACCATTTTTTATCTATATACATGAGCTCTTAAACGTATACCCAGAACCCCTTAGTATAGTACTATAGGATGTACTCTTACTCGAAGTAATAGGACATCGTATTTGACAGAGTACTCAAGGATTATATCATTGTACCCAAGGAGTTCATGTTGACAGATTGCAGAGGTTAAGACGTCTTACTCAATGGACTGATTCAGTTTACTAGAGGGGGTTAAGTCTAGGTACTTAAGGGGTTATGTCTTAAGTAATCAAGGGGTTAAGTCTATGTACTTAAGGGGATAAGTCTATGGACTCAAGGGGTTAAGTCTACGTACTCAAGGGGTTAAGTCTACGTACTCAAGGTGTTAAGTCTTAATTACTCAAGGGGTTAAGTCTACGTACTCAAGGGGTTATGTCTTAAGTACTCAAGAGGTTAAGTCTAGGTACTCAAGGGGTTAAGTCTTAAGTACTCAAGAGGTTAGCCCGTATTATTAAACAACATCTTCCCCTGAAGAGGGTCGTCGTGTTTCAACCCGAGTTTTAAACTAAATTCCAATATCATAAATTGGAATTATTGGAATTAGTTAATTTTACCGCCACACCACCCCGTTAAGTACAGTACTGCTGTGTCCCTCAGGACTTATTTAGTTTACGGGTTGAAACACGACGACCCTCTTCAGGGGAAGATGTTGTTTAATAATACGGGCGTAAGTCTAGGTACTCAAGGGGTTAAGATTTCAATTTCCTTGTACAGTACTAGAGTTAGCATCACACAGCAGGCCTATAAAAATCTCCTCTGCATTCCAGGTATAAAATTTCGATTCCAAGACGTGGCTCGCCCTCACACCCAGAATCTATGTCGTGACGTGATAGTAAAGAACGTTCCCATGCCTCTGCGTGATCCCCTCCTCTGGGATTGTCCCTTCTTCAGCTTTGATATCATCGACCATAACCTTCACCTGACCGTCTTGAGTGATGATGGGCGAGGCGGCTTCTACTCTTTCCTAGTCCCTAATGGAACACATGTTGGTGAGAAACCTGACCTGACCTAATCTAACCTAACCTAACCTGACTTGACCTTATGTATCCTAGCCTAACCTAACCTTGTCAAACCTAACTTAATGGTACACATATTGATGAGAAACCTAACATAACCAAACCTAACCTTCCTGATGTATCCTAGCCTAGCTTAGCCTTGACTTACCCAGCCTAACCTATCCTGCCCTATCCTAATCAGATCTATCCTAACCTAACTTATCTTATTCTACTGCAAATTAACTCAACCCAATCTAACCTAAACTAGCCTGATTAAACATAATGTAACCTAACCTAACCTTCTTACCCCACCATGAGTTAACTTAACCTAGCATTACTTAACTTCAACTCAATCTAAACTAACTCATATTTATTCTATGTTTCTTTAATTACAACTAAAACACCCGAGGGAAATTCCTTTTAAGCAAACCTAGTTCTGCGAGTCGAGAATTGCCCTGAAAATATAAGATACAGATGTGGATAAAATTCCCTTGAGTGTTGGTAATATCTGTACTCAAGGAGCTATTACGATGTTAACATATTTTTCCTCGTGATTTTCTTTGTACAGTTGTTTAATTCTCCTTATTGTTATTTAAATATAATGAAAAGCATACATCATTACTATAAGCCAGTCACACATGGCCTACTTGTGGATGCCAGATATTGTCAAGTATTGAGGGGATTTTTTTTCTCGATTTCAAAATGCAGTTATAGACAGTCGAGGTTCTGTTATTAGATAAATTAATTGAGGAGGTTTGAGGAAATTTCTGACTTATTCTCTCTTAACACCTGCAGACCCTTACAAAACTAGTATCGAAGACTGGCAGGTGTTTCAATACCTGCACTTGGCACACATCCATAGAAGACAGGGAGTGCCAGTAACGCTTCAGATGGCACCTTTCCCTAACCTCACCTACAGTGTGTCCCTCATGCACTGTCTTGATGACGACTGCAGAGAACTGAGTCTCACTGACCACGTGATCCTTCAGGGACCCGAAAGGTAATAATAATATTGATGGACTTCCATCTTGCTTGGAGTTCACGGAAGATTTTTTTTTTTGTAACATTAATTTTGTCTCCTAAATGATACTACAGTAAGTGATTGTATTGAGGTGAAGTCATAACTGTTTTTTGTGGTAATGAACTTATATCATTAATGAAAAGTGTATTATCTTCTAACTCGTGTTAAGGAAAGTTATCTGTTAGAGGAAAAGTCATGGATTAATTCAAATGCCATTTTGGATGTTATTTTTGTGCTATAGCTTAAGTTAGCTTAATAGGTGTTCACGGGAAATCAATGAGTGAACCCTCCCCTTCCCACTGTAAAGGCTCAGAGGGATGTATCGTCACTCGTCTGTCTGTCCACAAATCCACAACTACAAACTAAAGGTCATTATGCATAGTTGATAACCCTTATCTGTGTTAATATTCTTACTAAGGAATATAGAACTCTTTCACCACCAGCTTACGGTAGACTTGATGAATAAAAAGTTATGTTGATTATATGGATCACATGAAGATTATCACCCCCAACTTTTTACCTGATAATTAAAAATCGGGTTTAATCATCAAGTGAAAGAAACTGGGGATGCTAATTTTCGTGTGATCTGATTTTACAGTAATACAAGTTTAACAATATATATTACTGAGCACATGAAGATCCCAGCTTTTTTCTTATATAATGTATCATAACATCAGTGGTTTATAGTGTGACGTGTGTAATTTTTTTATATTGTTAATGAGTTTTGTGAAGATATTTCGTGTTTACTCTTTTATCGTGTTCGGTGAATGATGCTATAAGCTGTATGGAGTGACAGGAGTAAACCAGATACTGTAGGTGTTTGGGACCTTTATGGATGACAAGCACTAGAGCAGAATACAACTTGAAACAGTAGTCTACGTGCATGAATAACAGCAAGTGATGGAAAAATCTTTGTGTGTGTGTGTGTGTGTGTGTGTGTGTGTGTGTGTGTAAATATAATAACCTTAGTAATACTTGGTCGTGATCCAGCGTGCACTTCCTGGAGGAGGAGTCACCACAGAAGACCCAGGTGTTCCCTCTTCCTGGTCCTGGTTCCTACCTGGTCACCACACACATCATCACCACCGCGTGTCCTCCCTGTGGCTGCTTCATCTCGCGCTCTCCCAAATTTGGTAGGAAGACGACAAATACTCCTGTACTGTATTTATAGAAAATATTATCCCTATATCAGATTAAACTTTTTTTTATTATATATTGTCTTTGGATTTGTTGAATGTCTATGCAATTTATTATCCTCTCCACGCCTGGGGTGGAAATAGGGATTTTTTTTTCAATCTCTGTCTGTCCCTTTGAAATAATTTTTTTTACGACTGCTCTCTTAATTCTCTTAGAGGGTGGTTTATAATATCAAGGGGTTAAACTAACTACCTCAAGGGGTTAAACTAACTTCCTCAAGGGGTTAAACTAACTTCCCCAAGGGGTTAAACAAACTTCCCCAAGGGGTTACAACATCATCCTCATGAACTTAAACCATTGGCTTGACAAGAGATTAAAGTGATAATTTACCAAAGGTCAACTTTCAAAACGTCAACGACCGCCATACTTCCTTTCGGGCGAGCAGCATCATCTGGACCCACTCACTCACTCGCCCCAATACTCACTCACTCACTCACTCCCCTAATCTTATGTTTACAGTTGTGAGAGCGGATGTGACGTGGTTGAGAGTGTTGGTAGTTATCACGGGCGCCCTGGTCATCAGCTTGACTCTGGGTGTGGCCTTCAAGTATCTACTCCACGTACAACGCTGTGAGCAAACTCCTCTTGATGTAACTAACATTTATCGTCCACCACTCTGTTCACAGGAAGTTGATATTTCACGATTTTTTTTTAATTCATAATTTATTGTACTAAAAAAAAAGCTCTTGTTTACTACAATTGATTTCGTGACCGCCAACTACGACAGTCATTACGGCCGTAGTCTTTGGAGAAAAAAAGGAGCGACAATATAATGTATTTTTACTAAAGAGATTTGTTGACGTCATGTTAAATGTTTTTGAAGTGTTTTTGTAACTAGGTACAGTAATGTGGGTTAGTCATATATTGCAATACATTAATATTGTTTATGAGGAAAGCATGTTTTAGATCAGAGTAATTCACGTATTTGTACTGGGAGATATTAGGTACTCCGGAAATGAGAGCCTCCCGGTGTATATTATACATATATGCTATGATCCTATATCCGTTAATAGACAGTCCTATAATCCACACTACATTAACTAGGGTGTTGGGGGTACAGAGATATTGTGCTTATCTCCCACTCTGTCATGGGCCCGATACTCACACGTGGGGAGGATGTTATATAGTGTGTGTGTCCTTTCTCTGCTAACACTGAACAAAGTAACAATAGACCAACTACCCGAGCGGCGAGAAAACAAAGTGATGAAGTTATCAATTAAATTAACATTAAATTAACTGCACTATTATCTACTTCCATTATCTACTTTGAGTTGGAGTTGTCTCATAATTGGTGTTGTGTCAGGGTGAGGGAAATGTGATCATATTGTGTGGTAAACGACACTCTTCCTCCCATCGTTTGTGTTTTCTTTGATCCAAATCTAAAAAGTAACTGTTGAGATGCACTCTAGGGTCTTATCACACACACACACACACACACACACACACACACGGGCTCTTTTATAGATGAACACTGCTCACTTAGTACTCTACACAGAAGCTCTTACGCCCTTATATCCGGAACTCTTATCTGGTTATGTACCAACAGCGGCCAAGCCTTTTGTTTCATAATCTAGCTCAATGTTCTGTAATCGAGCCGAGTTTAAATGACTTACGAATGCCTTGTAAATGGAAGTGGCTTTTATTTTGTTACATAATAGTCATTTAAACCGTTTAATGAGACAGCTTGTTGTTTGAACTTTGTTTTCATGTACTGTACAGTGATTTACAACGATCTGAACTTCTATAGTTGGACAGACAGTGATTTACACCATTTTAAATCAATTTTATTCCCTATAAAATGATTTACAGTGAATCCGTCAGTCCTCTATGCAGTGATTTACAATGATGTAAATGAAATTTATCCCTTGGTAGTGATTTACAATACTTTAAAGCTGTTTTATTCTCAGAACAACGATTTACACCTACACAGTGATTACAAGTCAATATTACCCTCAATACAGTGATTTACAATACACTAATGTCTGTTCTATCTCCTGAACAGTGACTTATAATGATAACAAGGAAAAGAACAAGCCAAAGGTGATGCTGATATACCTGGCTGGGTCCTGGAGTCACTTCGAGCTGGTGGTGAAGGTGGGTGCTTACCTCAGTGCCTGCTCCGTCGATCCTCTCCTGGTCGACATTCACAGCACTAGACAGGTGGGTTAAACAAGTGATTCAGATGGGTGGATTAGTTATGTGGATCAGATGTTTATGTTCAGGTACGAGTGGATGGGCGAAAGATGAGTGGATTTGTGACAGGTGGAGGTGCGTCAGACAAGTGAAGGTGTGGCTGATAAATGGGTGAACAATTAATTAACATAACCAACAAATAGTGTTATTGTTTATAGAATCTCATCAACAACAAATCAAGATAACGGTATTATTTGTAGGTCAATAAATATGAACAATCCACTTAGATAACTCCTATTTTTTAGAACCCCTTCAAGTGGACGAGTGAACACATCCACACATCTGATCGCGTGTTGTTCCTGGTGCCAGAGAACCTATGGGCCCAGAGTGTTACACCTATCAAGGACCACTGGAAGTATGCCCTCTCGTACATGACTGGCCGCACCTTAAACCAGCACACTAACCAGGCTGCCACGGTGATCATGCCCTTCAGTGCCTCTGTACCATATCAGGTGAGGTCTGCTGTAGCCATAAGTTAGTCGCCTGTGTCTAAATATAAATCCTTTAATGTCTGCAATTGTTATTCTTTGTCTTCACTACTTTTAAATGGTATGTGTAAGTGGATGTTGTATTTGGAATTTTATATTTATGGCATCAGGGCTTCTGTAACTCTTTTATACAAGGTAATATATGTTTTAAAGTTCTTTCCAATTTTTTTTAAGCATGTGTCGCCTCTTAGCCATTCGTGCTTTGAGGAAGGATAACACACATTGTCCAGACAGGTTATTATTATTACGTCTTATAAAACCTGTGGATATTAAACCCAAGACCAAGTGAGAAATTTTGTTGCGAGGATGACTCACACCCCAGAGTTGGCTTCACCCAGACTCTGAAATTGATAGATACAGTAAAGGAATATTTGTTTACCCTCGAGTATGAGATATTACCAGAAAGTAAAATCTGGTATTGTTCAGTTTGTATTTCTAGATAGAACTAAAATTTCCTTGATTTTTGAAGTTGGTCTTGTGAACAGAGTTTATGGACCCTAGCTGGTGAAACATTTTGATACGGGACAACAACTTCAGTTCGAAATTAAACAAAGAATCCTTAATATATTAATTATTAACATTAAGTTTAGGAGAATTTATACAGTATATTAAATGTTTATTTACCATCAGTAACTTGAACATTTTCATTACAGATTGCTCATTTACGGCAATTTAAGCTGCTGCACGACCTGACCAAACTGGTGATCTGGTTGCATGGTGGAACCTTCATGGACCGCTGGTTCATGTGGAGCTCAGGTCTCCGGTGGGCTGGCAGTGAAGAAGCCACATACTCTCTCACCAACCTCAGAGACCTCCTTGAAAATGAAACTGACGAGCAGAGGGACGAGGAGAGCTTTAAAATGAAATGGAAACTTTATTTTAGACAATTATTTCTTGGGGGTCTTCAGGACGATCTGCCTCAGTCTCCGAAACTTGCACCACCACTGCCACCACCACCATCCCCATCACAACAACAACAACAAGAGAGTGTGGTAGAGGTCGGAGAAAACACAACTGATGGACAACAGAAGAAATTGGATGGAAATACACCAGAAGTTCAAGTCCTACTTAACCATCAGCCGGGTTATTCCTCGGACGGTTACGAGTCTTCTGAGTGTAGTGGTTCCTTACTGTCTCATGATGCTTACCTGTGAAATTAATTAGATACAGGTGCTTCAACTACTGACTCGCCTGACAATTACTTTTCACTCACCTGATGAAGTACACAAGCAGGTGGTGGTGGTGGTAATATACTCGAGGTTGATTGGCAGGAATGAGAACACCACTGTAGCCTGGCATCCCTCAGAGAGTATAAGAGGAGCATAGCCTCTAGCCATCTCGACCTGCAGACGTCACTGACACTCGGCACATAGATAAAGGCTTCATGGATGCCACACACGTTACCTTGTTCCTGGCATACAACTACACCCCCTAGCCTAATGTCGGGTCGAATAGAAGCTCTCTATCAACACCGACTTAAAGTTCCTAATCATCACTACAGCGTTAAAGTTAAGTCCTCCATCTAACCTAACCTCATTTAGGTTTTAGAAAGTATATTTAACTTGAAGTCTGTGACAAATTTTGGGTAATGTTTTGATTTTGAAGTAACTTTGGGTTTGACTTTTAAGTTAGTTAATTTGTTATGTGTTGTTTTAGTTGTTTTATTATTTATTATGTAATTTGCGGTCAGTAAACCTATCTTTCTATATATCTGTGTCTGTGTCTGTCTATCTGTCTGTCTGTCTGTCTGTCTTTCAAGATATGTGTTAACTATGGTAGTACAGTATTCAGTTGTTGTGTGTCAGTGAAATCAATGTAATAATTGTCTTTTATTTTGTGTAATCATTATTTCCTCTGTATTATAAAGCACCATTTTTGTCTTCACTTCAGTCAATAATTCTTAAGTTATTTGAGCAACAGTAGTGTTTGTTTGAGCACCAGTAGTGTTTATTTGAGCACCAGTAGTGTTTGTTTGAGCACCAGTAGTGTTTATTTGAGCACCAGTAGTGTTTATTTGAGCACCAGTAGTGTTTGTTTGAGCACCAGTAGTGTTTATTTGAGCACCAGTAGTGTTTATTTGAGCACCAGTAGTGTTTATTTGAGCACCAGTAGTGTTTATTTAAGCACCAGTAGTGTTTATTTAAGCACCAGTAGTGTTTATTTGAGCACCAGTAGTGTTTATTTAAGCACCAGTAGTGTTTATTTGAGCACCAGTAGTGTTTATTTATGCACAGTAGTGTTTATTTGAGCACCAGTAGTGTTTATTTAAGCACCAGTAGTGTTTATTTGAGCACCAGTAGTGTTTATTTGAGCACCAGTTGTGTTTATTTGAGCACCAGTAGTGTTTATTTGAGCACCAGTAGTGTTTATTTGAGCACCTGTCTTTGTATATTTTAATAAAGTAGAGAGAACACCTGTTGTTTTGTGCACCTGAGTTTTTTTTGTTTTAATTAGTAATATTTTCTTTGCATACAGTACTTAAATACGTGAGAGTGTACACATGACCAAGAAAAGTAACTTTACAATTTTGTTTTTCGACAATATGACACAATGGATGAATAATTTTGATAACCATACTGAGATAATGGAAGGTGTAGTGTTTGTCTTGAAATTTAGGGGATTGTGTACACCTGTTGTCTTGCACACCTGCTGTCTTGCACACCTGTTGTATTGTGCACCTGTTCTTGTACACCTTTTGTCTTTCTTTATTACAGGTGTTTTTGTTTATATTTAATGGGTGGTTTAATGACAATCTCGAGTGTGATACAGTGTAAGTGATAAAACCCATCATTAGTTACCTGGTTTAAGAAAAAAGTGACAGTCGGATTTGCTATATTATGACATCCGGCCTTGCTATCATAAAACAGCCGGCCTTGTTATTTTAAAAACAATCAGTTGTACTGTATTAAAAGCCAATTATATTTGTCACGTACAATAATGACAAATAAGGCTTACAATTAACAAATGCTCATAGGAGATTGATAATTAAGGATTGGTGATTGAAAGTGGGCGACCCTGATTGGCTATATTGCGGGTAAGGATTTCTGGTTGGTGATTAGAAATGTGCTACCCTGATTGGCTATACTGTAGGTGAGGCTGGTTGGTGTGGGGTCGATAGGGACACTTGTGGTAGACAGTTTGGGTTCTTGGTTAGATGAGGGACCACCACAGCTGAACGTATCTGTTACGAGTAAATGAGTGAATGACAGCTGATAATAAGAGAGTATGTTGAGGTAAAATAATAATAAACGGTTTATTAATAGAGTTGCAGCCGGTGGCTGAAAATATACAGACTTACATTTGATTTAGACATAATGATATAATATGTGTTGAATACATTTACAGGGCTGTACAGTACATAAATCAGGAGTTGTTTATTATTTTAACAATAGATGGGATGGTGCTGTTCTTATATCTATCGGTGCGGGCTCTTATGGGCTGAATTTTGTTGTAGTGACGGACTGCGCGAGGTGGGTGGGTGGGGGGCTGCAGGAGGTGTGTGTGTGTGTGTGTGTGTGTGTGTGTGTGTTTTATCATGTAGAGAGAGAAAGAGGATTGAGGGAGAGAAAAAGTGGAATGGGAGAGAGAGATAGAGAAAGGGAGAGAAAAGGATATATATATATATATATATATATATATATATATATATATATATATATAGAGAGAGAGAGAGAGTTTCAGTAGCGGACTTGTAAACACCTGTAATACCTTTTTCCTCATTAAGCTAAATTACTTTACAACTGTATGATCCCTTAACAGGTTACAGGTTACAGCCCTCTTGCTCTACCACTCTCTCACCTGCATGAAGACCTAGCAATAGACTACAGCAGAAGGTGACGACGGGATACAGCAGAAGGTGTCATAGGAGGGACGACAACGAGGTAATTTACTCCTTATGAACAGACAAGAATCACTCCCTCGTCCTGTGAGTGTTGGACTAAAATTTTTTGGGTCACGTGAAGATTAGTTCCCCTGTTTATTTCACCTGATGATCAAACGCCATAATGCTACTTTGGTTAGGTTAGGTTATATTGGGTTTGGTTTACATTACGTTAGGTTAGATTGTTTGGTCAGATTAGGTTAGGTTAAATTAAGATATGTTCTATTATGTTAAATTAGGTTAAATTCGGTTGGGTTAGGTCTGGGTGGTTAATCTTATGGTGAAATAAGCCCCCCCCCGAGCTTAATGTGATCCTCATGTGATCAAAAATTTTATTAGAAAAGTGTTGATGTTGGGAGGAGTGACACAGTGTAGGGGGAGGGTGTCGAGGCGGGCCACCATCAGAAAGACGAGCATGTCTTACTCTTTAGGACAAAAAATGATGGAAATTATTGATTATGAGTATGGGGTGCACAATAAACTAGCCGCTGTAAGCAACAAAAAAAAAATCAATCATCTTTTTTTAAGCGGCACGTAATATAATATTGATTTCCTGGTATATAAAAATCTCAACTTGGCTTGAATGTTCTTCCCTCTGCTTGTGTGATACTGCTGGGCGTATGGCTCTCCCCTCCCCCCATCCCCAACCAGGAGGATAAAACTGGGCCTTGTCGGTAGAGCATACTGTACAGTTGTGCCTCCCTCCCGCACCACCACCATATCTAGCCCAGGTAATAGGTTATCCCCGGCTCTTAAACCGTCTCTTGCTGCTTTAGTTCCTGGTCTTACGCGGAACAGGCACAGAATAGATTAATAACCACGTGTTTCCTTTATTTTATGTGTGGGAGTTTAATGTTGACGTAGAGAGTTTTATGGTATAAGATCAGTGGGTGAGCCATGAGGGAGTGGGCTGGACCAGGGGTTGAGCCAGACGAGCACTCAGGGTCGAGCCCCGCCCTCTGTCCTGTTAGATGCACTTGGGCGCCTCCCTCGCTCAGGTGTGGTGCTCTATAATTAACTCAAGTCCTCACTTGACCTTCGCCCTTACCTGCTTCTTACTCTCTCTCTCTCTCTCTCTCTCTCTCTCTCTCTCTCTCTCTCTCTCTCTCTCTCTTTCCCCATCTCTCCCTCTCTCTCTCCCTAGTGGGTATTCTATATGCCTCTCACAGTGGGTAGAGTGTGACGGTGTAGTAAAAGTCACTCACTCGTCACTTCCGTCACTCCCTGTCCAGTCGTGAGATACTATCCATATGAATGGGATTCAATTAACATTAAGTTTGGTTAAGCTTTGAAGGAAGTTAGTTAAGCACTGAGGTAAGGTACTAGGGTAGGCTCCGTAAGTTAGGTTAGGTTTAGATTAAGCATTGAGGTAGGTTCGTTTACTATTAAGGTAGGTTAGACTTTCAGTGTCAAGGTGGGACTGACACATGGGCCGCATTAATCAGCCTAGCTGCTGTCTTTTCTCACCGAGTGTTTTTCCAGAGTAAGAGAGTTTTTACAGTCCTCTCATTACACCCACTGCCAGGCGTACGACCAACCCAGCAATGACTTACCTACTGGTAATTATTCGTCACCTCTGCTATTATACTTCGGTTTTTCTTTCGTAATGTACAGTATTTAGAGCTTGTGACAGTCCATTGTTCTCCAGAGGCGTATAATTACTTTTGTGAATTCATTAGAGATTATATTACCTTGGGTCCGAATACAGAAGAAGTGAAAGAATGCACCTGGATATTTATTTATCTCAGGTGAAGCACAAATGGGAGACAAGATTCCCTTAACTAAGTACGTTCATTTAGCATCAGAAAATATTGAGTTCATTTCATTTTTATTCAGTAAAATCGTCTCACAAGAACAAGTATACAATTCAGCATGTATATAGACAATGCGAGGTATACAGTAAACTTACACAGGTATACAAAAATGTACCTGAATAGCGCGAGTTTACAAACAATGGTAAACAGTGAGGCATCGCGACCAAGGACAGACAACAAAGCGACCCGGGTAAAGAATCATTTCCAAAACAATCTTCTCTTGTATTTATCAACCTCTTGCTAACTAAACATAACCTATTAACGTGAAGCTTCAGTAAAATATATACAGTACTAAACGAACCTCGGTGAATACTAATTTGACGTCTCCAGTGATTGGAAGAACAATTATTCCCATTTCTGAGGAGAAAAACGATGGGGAAAGAGGTGGTCATGACGTCGGTGTTATTGCTACCATGACACATCAAATGTTGCAACAAGTTTAAAAAAAATAGCCTATACTGATTGCAATGGTACTCTAACCTTTTTGTTGGTGAAAGTTGGCAATACTGTCAGGATAAAATATAGGCCTACACCACCACTTTCCTCGAGACGTTATAGTTACTGCCCTCGTTACGTGATAGAGTAATTCCAATCCAGACAATTGGTTATACAAAGTTGACCTTTAGCCCTTGATCATCGACTTCATAAAACAAAAACTGGTGTGAGTTAGTGTACAAGTCAGGTATGTACACAGTGCAGTACAAGTCAGGTATGTACACAGTGCAGTATATACAGTTGCAGCCAAAATTCCTTCGACACTTGGCAACATCCGGCAACTTTTTGTAGGGTCATGTGTGTGATAGGTTTATACAGTAACTGGTTAACGTTACTTGTCTGTATAAATCACGTCCGAATATCAACATAGAGAAACCCCTCTTCATATTAAAGAGATAATCTGAGGATATAGATTCTTGAATACAAAGAAAAATATGACTATTACACAATAAAATCAAACAAATTTCCTCTCTTATAAACGGGTAACCCTCAAGTAGATGATGCCAGATATTACAAAAAACTGCACGTGGATTATTTTTTTCGGCACCTATATAATAAATTAACATTTCATGGAGAGAGAAAATGAGTGAATAAATGACTGGCATAAATTTAGAGTTTACTGATATTAACAAGTTTAATGTAATGTTTGGCTTTATATCTCCGTCGAATTTTACTTGAGAATAGAAGGAATGTGAAAGTAAATTGAGGTGTAGATTTTTTTCATTCTGATATTATTATTATTATTATTATTATTATTATTATTATTATTATTATTATTATTATTATTTTTATTATTATTATTTTTATTATTATTATTATTATTATTATTATTATTATTATTATTATTATTTTCGTCGTATTTTTGACCATGTACCTGTAAGTTGGATATATTGAATGTAATAATAATAATAATAATATAATAAGGAGTGTAAGAAGAAAGACAATAGTAATAATAACAATAGCAAGTGGCAAATAAAGTAACATGATAAACGTCTCTACACAAACTCTCCCCGGCAACACAATAAGTATTCTAAAATATCTCTTGACTCTTGTAATAAACTCTTCGGATATATTGCTTCTGAAAAATATTGAATTAAAAACATTAAAACAACTACTGTTAATGTTCAGAATTCAAGTTCGGTTTTATTTTGCGTGTGTAATTTTCTCGTATTTATGTTTTTTTGTTGTAAATAATCGTAGAACGTATTATGGTTTGTCCTTGTCCGCCTGTCTGTCTGTCTGTCCTTGTGCTTATTTGTCTATTAACTTTGATTAATTTTTTTTCATTCGACCTCAAATTTCAGAAACAGTACGTGAGTATTTTTTAGACAGTTAACGGCGCTCTGTTTTTGTTTTTGCTCCTGTCTTTAATTCCCTTTTCGTATGTTACTATAAGGACCGAAAAAAAATTAGAATAAAACGAGTAGATAATTTTCAGGATAAGATGACATTTGACTCATTAAAAAGAAACGGAACAGGACAAGGTCGGAGACGTCACGGCAACAAGTCGATTGTTCTCAGTTGCTTGGATGACGCTAGGCTGTACTGTTTGTGGCCTGCGGAATGCTTAAAACAAACACACACATACACACCCACAAACACACACACACATACACACATATTTGCAAACATACATGCATACGCGCAACACACCATCCATGCCCATACACGCAAGCACTTACATATATACACATACATACATACAAACATACTCTTTATGTCGAAAATATTTGTATATACACATAAACAAAGGAAATAAGAATTGGAGTAAAACAGACGGAAAAATATCTTGAAAGGATGAGAGGGAGGAAGAATTAAAAAAAATGCATTATCCATAATTATCTTAGTTTATCTCTCACCTTGTTTCCGTTTTCTTTATATATCCTCCCGTCTCTTGACCTTCTATAAATTTTGTCCCTTTTAACTCTCTCTCTCTCTCTCTCTCTCTCTCTCTCTCTCGTTTTTTGTCTCCCTCACCTCCGATCTTTATTTCACCTTGTCTCTCCCACATTCATACATCTGTCTCTTATTCGCTATTATTTACTTAGTCTTTAAAACACACTCCAGTTATTCTCTTGTCATTTCCTATCCATTATTATTATTACTTACAGACTCTAGTTATCTGAATTTGTAAAAGGACTGCGTGACCAAATTTGTTGAGACTGTCCAGGGTGAAGTAGCGTTGGTAGCGAGGCGAACTTAGGTGAGGTAACGGAATACTTGATGTTTAGGTCTATTCCTGCATGTACTTCCTATGTATTCCGAGTACCAGATACCTCTTTCACATCTCTTACCAGTTATACACTTTAAAGAGGTTACAAGGTATAAAGTTATTAGATTATTATTTTTTTTTTAAGGTCACAAACTTCCTACTGTAAGCTTGTCATGGCCTATTTACTGCATTTATTCCCCGTCGTATTCTAGGGTTTGTCTGTCAGTTCTACCATACACAACAAGTATGGAAGGACAAAATAGATCAATAGATTTTCTCAACGTTATATATTTGTTTATTTTTTATTTTATTTAACATTTGGTTCCTGGGCGTGTAAATGGCATTTCTCAGTAAAAATATATATATATAATTTTTCCACATCTTTGCAGGAAAAATTCTCAAAATGTCAAAGCATCTTGGTCTTGACTCCTGCTCCTGGATATATTTTAAGGTTTGTTTAGTTAAATTTTGCTCGTTGGTGGTGAAATAAAAGCAGTAAATTTTCCTCGTAATTGATGAAGTTAAAGAGTGACATTTTCTTCGTTGGTTTAGAAGTTAAAACACGGAATTTTCCTCATAAATGGAAAAGTTAAAACATAAGAGGAACAACAAAACAGACCTTCGACGTCTTTGTGAAAACTGATCTTAGTAACCAACCCAACAATAAATATTTCTTCCTTTTTCCTGGACATTCTACCTGAGAACTCTTTGGAATGTTTCAACCAGTTTTCTTCAGATTCTAACAAAAAAATAAAAAATCGAATCACCTAACGATTAAACACCCTAACTTGTTTCCCCTGATAATTCAACACAATGCTAACCAAACCTACGCTAACCTAACCTAACCCCCTTTCAAAAAAACATTAAACTGAGTCACTTCGTTAAGGGAAAATATACAGGTTTCGTCAGGTGACCCACATAACAGCCGTGCTCTCTCACCCGATAACCTGAGAGGGGAAAAACAGCGGTTCAATCTGATCAAGGACCAGCACGTTAAATGTCGCCCTATGCCGTGACTATTACGTGTATGAAGTCAAATAACACCAAGAAGCAAGAAGGTGGGACCAGGTGTGTGTGAGAGAGAGGGGGCGTGGTGCTGAAGTGGGTGGTGGGGGGAGGGGATAGATAGGGTGGGTGAGGAGGTAGTTGGAGTAAGATGATGGGGTGTTGTGGAGTGAGGGGGGGGGGGGTGGGCGTGTGCTCTGGTCGGCCTTGAATCTCCAGTTGGCCCCCTCCCTCCTCCGTCAACTTGACCACTTGCCAGACTAGCTAGTTTCCTCCTGAATCAGACGTCTCCCAACTTGGTCTTTTAAAATATACCCGCATCAAGACATAAACAAGCACGTAGCTACAGTATAGTTAAAGAAAATAATATAACACGAGTGAACCTTTAGACAAGCATGACTGTGACCCTCGGCTAGCAGTCGTCTCACACATGACCTTACTAACACAGGAGTGAGTCGTTCTCCCAGCCACTTTCAACATCTCTAGATTAAAAGGTTTTATGATTTTACCCGTATCTTTATATAAACAAAGTCCCTGGTGTATCAAACACTTAAAACAGGGATAAAACCAGGATATTTACGGCAATAAGACGCCGGTGGTACGTGCCGGCAAGCGGTCACCTTGCGGGGCAGCAGCAACAGCGGCGAGGCGTCCTGGTTACATGACTGGAGAAGCTGTGAAGGTATAAGCTCCGGCCTCAACCTCTCAGTTGACAGTTGGTCGGTGTTTGGGTGGGACGTACACGCTCTCCCCTCCTCCATGAATCGTCTACGGAAAGGTAACTGATTCATCTACAATCGTCGTCTTTTATTTTTGTGAGAGTTAGCAGGAAATCCTCGTATCCATAAAAAAAGCACAAACTCAAATCATGGTCTACTCTCGTCCCTACTCGGCTATATCGTTCTTTCAAGCAAATTTTATACAATACATGAATTCCCTCTCTAGATGCTAATGTCTTCCCTTTGCTTGAGTGACTTTCTCGAGGGATAATAATGTTGGTGCTGATGAAAGTGAAAGCACTAAGCAGATTACTGTTCTTACCTGGTGTATCGACTTGCAGGCGGAGACTTAAATCGTCTTCTGGAAAAATACATCCTTTTCTTTTATACATAAAGACTATTATCTTAATAAAGGCATTGTATCCTATTTCTCGTATGACTTAAACATTTTCTCTCATTTCTCGTATGACTTTAAACATTTCCTCCCATTTCTTGTATGACTTAAAACATTTCCTCCCATTTCTTGTATGACTTAAAACATTTCTTCCCATTTCTTGTATGACTGAAAACATTTCCTCCCATTTCTTGTATGACTGAAAACATTTCCTCCCATTTCTTGTATGACTGAAAACATTTCCTCCCATTTCTTGAATGACTTAAAATATTTCCTCCCATTTCTTGTATGACTGAAAACATTTCCTCCCATTTCTTGTATGACTTAAAACATTTCCTCCCATTTCTTGTATGACTTAAAACATTTCCTCCCATTTCTTGTATGACTGAAAACATTTCCTCTCATTTCTTGTATGACTTAAAATATTTCCTCCCATTTCTCGTATGACTTAAAATATTTCCTCCCATTTCTTGTTTGACTTAAAACATTTCCTCCAATTTCTCGTATGACTTAAAACATTTCCTCCCATTTCTTGTATGACTTAAAACATTTCCTCCCATTTCTCGTATGACTGAAAACATTTCCTCTCATTTCTTGTATGACTGAAAACATTTCCTCTCATTTCTTGTATGACTGAAAACATTTCCTCTCATTTCTTGTATGACTGAAAACATTTCCTCCCATTTCTTGTATGACTGAAAACATTTCCTCCTCTTCAAGACATTTCCTTACTTTACATATCAAAATTTCCCCCCGTCCCTCGTATGACTTGCTGTTACCTCTTGGAAATAACTCACATTCATAAAAGGGAAAGTGGCAAACCAGATTCTGGATTTTCCCTCAGTGCCGTGCTTGTGGGCAGCGTGTCTCCTCCACTTTTACTCTCTGTCGGTGTAAAAAAAAGAAGGGTAAAGACACTCGGTGCTGTTATCGTGCGGTTTTCGTGAAATTTTGATTGCTTTATATTGACACGGGAGAAATTGCAGGAAAGGCGCTGAATGTTTCATTGCTGAGAGAGAGGGATGAGAGAGAGGGGGATAGGAGACAATGAGAAAGAGTGAGTGTGTGTGAGAGGTGTGTCGTGCTATGTGATGCCTGCTGCTGGGTTGGCGAGTGGACGGGCCAGTTCATATGCCTCGAGCACACACACTCACTCAGGTCGACTTGTTGCTTACACACACACACACACACACACACACACACACACACACATGCTAAAACTCATAGACATGCATACGTGTGTTGTTTTTATACTCCTAATTGTAAATTGTTTTGACTTCAGGCGACGTATGAGCCTCTCTCTCTCTCTCTCTCTCTCTCTCTCTCTCTCTCTCTCTCTCTCTCTCACACCAATTATCGCACGTTCCTTCATTTACCCTTCAACCTCCTGCCGGGGCGAGATCCTTGTTGATGTCAAGCGTGTCTGACCTTCTACATGTAGGTATCACAGGGAGAGGCTACAGTAGTTGGTCTCCTTGTTGAAGCTCAGACCATAGGAGATGAAGCCGTTCTGTGATCCTTACTGAAGCTTTGGAGACCAACCAGAAGTCCTTCGAGGAGTTAAAAGAACCTGTATCTCTCAAACTCAGGTGAAGATCTGTAAATTTTTTCCCTATACGTCTGGGTTTATAATTGCAATATACACAGGGTGTCTCAAAAGTCACTGTGCCCAAGTTTACTGAATGAATAAAGTAACTATTTTGTGACACCCTGTATTTTAAGTATAATTATCAGGTTTCTTGTTGAATCATTGTGGTCTGAAAATTTTAGTGATTAGTTACCCATCATTGTCAAAGGAAAGTAAATTTGCGTCTTGTTTCGTGCTTTTTGGGTTTAGTTAATTTATATCTGTTAAGAGCCATAAGGTGTTTTGTTAAAGTACCGTTGCTAAGGCATAAACAACAACATCTGCAGGTCAACATCACCAGTCAATGCGTGTGTGTGTGTGTGTGTGTGTACTTTTAAAAATTAGTGTCGTAGAATAAAGGTTTTAAGAATGTAAATTTTAGACCTACACATCGATTAAATCTGAAATTTCATTGGAATCAGGCATAGATTTTTTTAAATTTTTTTTTCATTTATTGGGCACCCCCCCCCCCCTACATCCTTGTGTAAGGTGAAGCGCAGAAGCGAGAGTCGAGGGCGTTGAAGCCTGAAGAGTCAATGGTTTTTATGTCTAAGCAAGTTATTAGAATTTCCAACAACTTGTCCCTGAATACGAATTCGCAACTTTCGACTTACAGCAGGTACCTACTGTGCTGGTCGGTGAACAGGGACGAAGGGTACTAGGAAGAGATAGTCAGTTTTCATGGAGAGGGGTGAGGGAGGGTCAAGATCAGGGGTCAAAGGTGAGGGAGGGTCAAGTGGGGTCAAAAGGGTCAAGGTCATGGGTCAATATCAGGGAAGTCAAGGTCAGGTGTCATGGAGAATCAATGTTAGAGGTCAGGGAGGGTCAGGGGTCACAGAGTCAAGGTAAGGACAGTGATAATGTTCTGTCAGTCGATATTATACCACAGAACAGCCTCCAGTAGCTCTATTTAACGGTGGGTACTGTACAGTTTATTGTGCTGTGTAACTCACCCGATATACAGTATATTATTTGATATATGGTGACTGTTTTCATTTCTTTTGATTAATTACGTGTGTGTGCGTGTGTGTGTGTGTGTGTGTGTGTGTGTCTGTGTGTGTGTGTCTGTGTGTGTGTGTGTGTGTGTGTGTGTGTGTCAACGGCTCTTCGGGGATAATCGTAATATTAACCATTTAAAAACTTGATGGCCTCTTGCGTGAAATAGGAATACTTCTTCATTTAATAACTCCATGGTAATTAGTAGATACAGTATTTGTCATTATTAATCTAACTAGCTATAAACCGCATACTTTTATACATACAGTGTGGCGCATAAATCACTTTGCCGAGAACAATGGGTGTCAGGTGATGATTAGCTCCCCAGTGTAATTTAAATGCTAATTAAAACGTCCAAATTCTACCTGGGTTTTTTTAGGTAAGGTCAAGTCAGGTTAAGTTAGGTTTATGGTAGTTTATCATAAGATGAAGCTGCTGGGTGGCTAATCTTCATGTGATCCGAACACTCTCTATATAGTAATAATCTCATTAAACGACTTCTCGCCACCGTGTACGTCATACAGCACACAGGAATTATAACTGGACATTTATTATCAAGATGAAATTATCAAGTTTTTTTTTCACCCAGGAGAACGTGTAAAGATGTAATATATTTTTTTTACTCGTTTTACAGTTACGTGTTTTTTTTATTATTTTACGAGACTGTCATTTGAGAGAGAGAGAGAGAGAGAGAGAGATTGATTCAGTGACCACATCATAACCGAAATATTCTCGTAAAAGCGGAAACAAAGAGGCTATGAGTGTATTCGATCCACATTCCTTTAATTCGTAATGCTAGTAAGACTTTCGAATTCTGAAAAACCGCAGCGCAATATACTGTAGAATGCACTACACTCAGGGTACAGTATACTTACTCAACACATACACAGACGTTTCTACACCTGCTCCTATAAATATCTTGTCTGATTTCATACTTAGGATAGATATCTAAACAAAGTCCTTATCTTCATGGTAATTGGGAAGTTTTTGGTAATATGTAATGTAATTTTAGATAACGTCGAGGTACTGTTTCCGGTAGAGAGAGGAAGCTGACTCACATACATACATACAAGCTGGTGTATACTCGTCATTTAAACACAATAAACAGGGCTGTATGTATTTTACGTATTTAGAAACTACACTTATTAAAATCATTTTAATTAATACAATAAAAACAATTGTGTATACTGATGCATTTTTTTTGAAACAGAAAGATGAAATTTGACTCTTGCCTACGTCACGTGAACAGTACTTTTCAAACCGCGATTCAGAAGATAAATTTGTGTTTTAAAAAGTAAATAATGATGTAGATGATTGGAAATATCACTTTAGACACGCGGAGCATTTGAAACTTAATCTAGAGGAGATATAAACAGTCCCTAAGTTTAAAACCTCTTTCTCGTTTCTTATCTCACATCTAGCGAGTATGAGACCCGCCAGTGTTGCTTGACTCCTGCAGTCTTATCTTAAATACTCACATATATATCAATAGATCATTAAATAAAACCGGCACTGGTACCTTACTGCGCAGTTGGCAGGCATACAAGAGAACCTGTTAAGGCTTGTGGTTTATCTTTGAATGCCTACACGAACTTTTTTTTACTCCAAGGACAAAAGGTAGTTATTCCAGGTAGCTGCAAAGGTGTTGTAGTGTGTACGCCTCATTACAAGACTTGCTTAATAATCTCACTACTATTAATTACGAGTAGTTATGTGAAATTACTGCCCGCTGCTGTAGCTGGTAACTTCCTGTGTGATCTTAATATAGTCAGTTGGAGTGTTAGGATCCACTAAACTGGTCAAACTAGGCAAAACCTGCTTGTTCAAGGTGTTCCTTAGGGGAGGGGAGTATGCCTGCTACCTCTCCTGTTTTTGCTGATCATTAATTTTTTGTGTCGACGAATGTTTTATGGCCTTGTTTACGGGTGAGCATTTTTATTACGTATACTGCCCAGTGAAGGACATACAGTATACATTATTATATTGGTTGTGAATGGTTTTTTGTTTGTTTTTTCAATATTCCAGGAAGAGGTTTTTTCCTT